CGCGACGCGCTACACCCCGCGATAGGCCGATCCTGGCCCAATCACCGTGCTCGATTCGGAATCAGTGTTAATAGAATTTTTGAGAAGAAAAATAAATCACTCACCTGGCGAGGCGTGGAAGATCCGATCGACGATGCTGGAAGAAGTCGGAAGTCGGAGTCGGGCAAGGATCTTGTCGGTATTGGCCGGAATCGAAATCGGCACCGGTGGACCGAATGCTTCTCCTTGGACCGGAACGAGGCACCAGCGGCTCAGCGCCCTCGGCTGCGGCCGCAGCTTTCTCTCAACCTCGCGCGACCCCGAATCAAAACTCGAAACCCGAACGGTCAGAAATCCCCTTGGGCCCCTCCCAAGGGGCTTTGCAGGTAAACCAGGCTACTCAACGTCAACAGCAAGATCACTCAGACATCCAATGCTGCGCAGCTGTGCACAGCGCGCAGCAAAATCAAAATTTGTATGTAGATAAAATAAAATAAAAAAAAAGAATGAAAAATAAAATAAAAATGCCCCCCACCTCTGAACTATTGGGCAGAAGGGGGGTACATAGGGACCTGAGACTAACATTTACAGTGGAAACCCTGTTAAATAAACTGTAAAAATTAATTTTAAGGTTCAAAATCACAAATACGGCCACCCCAGCTTGGCTTCACTGCAAAGTTGGGGGAGGCTATCACACTCTTTTTCCAGCCACACTCATTTTTTTCCAGCTTTTTCCTCCAAATACCCACTACCCTTTTCACTTCATTTCATGTTAAAAATTAACTCTTTCTCTATTTTCTTCCCATTTTCTCCTGATAAATTGTCTGGGGACAGACAATAAGTTGGGGGAGGCTGTGGTAGTCAAAAATGTGAAGAATTAAAAGTTTTTTCTTTCTTTTCTTATACATATATTTTCTTCATATTATCACCCAATCTCTCTCAGAAATCACACCATACGGCTCAAGAACTGGACTCTACGGATAAATTCACCCTTGGTCACCACGGAGGCGTCACTGGAACACACCTGGATCAACTCTTACCCAACAATGGACTACATATCACAAGGATTTCACTCATTACTACATGTCACCAATCCCAATTACAACCCTCAAGCTACACAGACACCCTCAGTACAGTACACACTCATTTACATATACACTCATTTACATTTCACTTCTACATATTACATCATACCTGCAGCCTATATTAGTGTATTTTCCTTGCATGACAGCCGCAGCTTACACCATCATACTCACTTGTAAACACAACAGAACCTGACCAATCAGAATCACTCTTTCAACTGTTTGGCCCACCACTTTAACTCTTGTACATGTCTGACCAATCACATTCACTCATTCAACTTATGTATGTAGCTAAAATCCCTCATGTAATAGCCCAGGCCAGCCAAAATCACTCATTACTGGCTGCCCTGGAGCTAAATTCCCTCACTATTTTCTATATAAGGAGGCTCTCCTCCCAGTTGTTGTCTCCTCAGTGTATTATTCATCAGTCACAAGTTTAGTACCACTCAATCACAGATACACCACCTTTACAGAACCTTACCCAACACCAATAACAACTCAACTCATTCTCAGCATCACACAAACTCATTCCTGAACTTACCCTATCACTTGATTAAAACTTGCCAAGCTGAGCTTGGTGGGTCTTGTTATCTGATAGTATAGAAGGGCAGAGCTTGCACCTCCACCATCCCCTTCTCCATTCAGCAAAAAGGGTCTTACAACCACTTTTTGAGTCTTACACCGGGTTGAGACACGGAGGGTGGATATTAGTGGTGATAGGAAAGCCCAGAGCCTCTCAAGACACTCTCCATCTGATAGGCCCCACCATGGATTCAGACGTGGATTATACTTGACCTGGCAAGACCACTCATGCACATAAGCATGGAAGACAGATGTGCCAAAAATCAAGTCAGGCAGCCGGTCGCTTAAAAGTCCTCGCTATAAAGGTGTTTCACAGGAACAAAGAGAAAAACTGAGTGAATTGAAACAGGTACATGATAAGCAAGGTACTTACACGTCTCACATGTCTTTCAAGGTGACAGCCAATGTCATAAAGTATTCCTACCTTGTGTTGAGGGAAGTCAGCCAATAGATTCCTTACAAGCGCTATAGGGTAGTATAATCTGTGATGGCAGTCAGTCAATTAAGAATGGTTTATTTTATCTTGTAATGATGGTGCTTACTTTTCTCCAGTCTTGTAGATGTTGGCAAACATCAGAGGAATGTCATGGCGACAAGCACTTGCAAACAGTCCGTTGTCATCACACTTCTCCCAAGTTGTTTCCCCCCGAGCATCATTTGCAGCCTTGTGGACGTCGGCACATGGAGGCTGGCCAAAAGGGGGATAAATGATCAATCATCAGGGTCCATATTGGTGAATTAACTGAGACAAGAGTGAAAAACATACATCGATACCAACTGCTGAAGCATCTGTGGCTGTGAGTGTATCAGCAACATTAGTGATTTTTGATGGCTTGACAAAGCTACGAGGATAATGGGATTCTGGTGGGTTATCTTTGCTAGCATAAGCATAGTGGCGCTGCTGGAAGTTGCCATCGAGTGCAATTATTATGTCAGGTTCTTTGGGGTGGGATTTGACTTCGTGTTGGTTTGGGCCAAAACAGCGTGGGCACTGGTTAGCCCATTGGTCGTTCTGACTGAGTTGTAATCCTTCAATTAAGATTTTCTGTTGGATGAGTCGAATGCGAGAAAACATGTCAATACTGTGTGAAAGTGGTACCCTCAAGTTCCTTTTCCTATAGTTTCCCCCTCGGGCATACAACGGAGTGTCGCTGCGCATTTCCAAAAAAGCCGACAGTGCTTGGACAAACGAGGAGGTGGAAACAACAGCAGTCTGCCAAAGGAGCTCATGGAATTGAAGAAGACGGATGGAGAACGCAGTCCGTGGAACATCAGGGGAGCTAGCTATGTAACCATAGTGAACAAGGCGGACTACATCGGGTGTACACAGGCAAAACGGCACCTTGATAGCTGAGTGGCGATCTGTGTGGTAGTTAATTGGCTCTGGTTAGCAATTGTTGGTCGGTCCACCAGGCAAAAAAAGAGGAAAAATGGCTTACAGATGATATCAAACAGATCCATGCTTCGCTCTTGAACATTGATGGGATCACAGGTACATGTATTTGGGGGGAGGGTGTAGGTACCTGGTAGCGAGGTCCAGTTCTTGGTTGCTTTCTGACAGATTAAGAATGCGGCAGCAACTTGTTCTCCAATTCGGACCATCGCTGGCTCATTCGTTCTCGACCTTCGGCGTATCGGCGAGCACGGTGGTAAGCAGCATGTGCCGCGCAGGGAAGTTGCTCCACGTCATTCTCAAAGTCTTCACCAACGTAACTACCAATAAGCGGTTCAAACTGTGATCGTTCTTGTTCGTCGTCTTCATGTGGTGGTCCCGCAAATTGTTGAGCATAGTTAGCATCGACGATTCCTAGTTGTTGTGCGATGGAGACTTCTTCGAGGAATGCACGGTGCTCTTCGAGTTCTCGAGCCTGATTTCTGATTTGGGCTGCTTGGGTACGACTGCGCCTGGAAGTGCCGGTGATGAGGAAATCAGCTGTGGTGTTATGTCGGTTGCGCCCGTGTGCGTTCCGTGCCATGTCTGTCAAGAGTGTCGGTGTCGGCGGGATGAGTCTTGCAAGGCCTTGCCGGACTTAGAGGCAGATGAGGCAAGCATACATCGGGAGTAAAGTTGGGCAACGGGGGGAGCTCCCCGGCCATTATGTAAGCTGCTGCGAGCTGCACAGCATTCAAGTGGCTCGAGCTGACTAATGGAGGGATGAGCAAGGGAAAGTAGGAGATGAAACGAGAAAAAACGAGAGGGAAAGAGAGGCGCGGAATCGGCTAATACAAAGTCTTGACACATTGATTCCCAGGGCTATGTAGTAGCCGATATGGTATCTACAGGGGTGGGATATTCCATCGGACATATCTGGTCATAAAAACATAACTTGAATGAGCATATTATCCTTGTAGTACTGTGATTATCTCAGAATTATCAAAATTAAATACATACCTAAATGCATGTATAAATTAGTTCAGAGCTTGTGCCACGTTCATCCAAGTCCTTGAACTCCCCAGGCTCCAATCAGCCACAATGGAAATTGACGAGGTCCCATCACAATCCCCTCCAGCATCCGAGCAATCCCCATCCCCTGAAGCGGCGCCAAGACGAACGCTAGCCACAAAAACCCTGGAGATTTGCAATCACCTGAAGTCAAACTACAACATGACACCAAAGCAGTTTATCGAGGCATTTCTCACTGCGGACAGTGATGCGCTTTCTTTTCGTCGGCGTTATTGGGGTTCTAAGGATGGCTGGCCCTCAACTCTTGACATAATCCAAAAAATCAAAAAGCAAGTGAAAAAGACACAAAAAGGTCAAGCTCGTTGGTGCGAATTCATCAAAAATGAAGTGAGTTTTCCATTCTGTTGGTAGAATCAATCAGGTTCATGACTCTATTTGTTCCTTTCTTGTTTTTTTTTCAGGCCATCCAAATCTTGGATAAGGAGAGACCTCCGACTGGCGAATATCCAGGTGGATGTTTTCAAAGTAGCCAGAAAGTTGAACCATCTTTCTTTGACGATGATGCTGTACTCGCCCGAGTAAAAAATTTACACGGAAAGAATGCAGTAGAAGTGTACTTGACAGGAGAACTAGAAAAGAAACACCATACTTTCCCAGTGAGCCTAATCAAACCATATGAAGGAAATGATAAAAGTAAATTCCCACTTAGAGGAAACCAGAATGATCAACAGAAACAATTACCAGTAATACAAGATGAGATAATTAAGATAAAAAAGATATTGCAACACAGAAAGATAAGAAAGAATAATATAGACATTGTACAATACCTAGTGAGATATAGTGGGAGCAAAGAAGATGAATGGCTAACAGAGAAAGAAATACCTGAAAACCAGAAATTACTTAGACAATATAGGATGGATAAGAGACAATAAGTTCACCTAGGAAGGACTCACCCTTTTTAGGGGTGGCAAATGTCAGGGGTTAAGTAATCCTAACCCCCTCATAAGAATTAAAAAAGAATAAATAAAAAGAAATAAAGCGCGGGACGCTTGAATGAATAAAAGAATAATGATTAAAGAAGCGGCGCAGCAAGAATTCAAGAATCAACGCGATGCGACGCGTACCCATCCCCAACTGTTGAAAGATCATCTACTAGTTCCATCCTGTTCCTTGAACCCCAAGGAATAGGATGACCACAAACTGGCCAGCCGGTCCTACAATATTTAAGAGAACCGCTGGCCCGATCACTTCCCTTTTTCTTCTTCCCCAGACCAGTATATAATCACGAAAGCTTAGTTACTATTAGTACCTAGTATCCTCAGAACCTAGCCTACACTCTAGCACTCGTAATTTCTATCGCTTGTGCGATTAGGATTTTCACTACCTAGAATCGAGGCTCCTGCCTACTACATCTCTGATAGTCTGAAGCTTAGTATTAGTTTTGTCTCCACGCCTCACGATCTCCTACGCCTTATTACGACCTACTACGATCCTCCGACGCCCTCTCCAAGTTCCCTTTCGACTGTTCTCCCACTTGTTAACTTGAAGTGTTAACATTCCCAACTCTAGCCTACAGAGATTGGTTGCCCCGGTCGTCAGACTGCTGGAAGATTCACGTAAGACTCATCGAGCTATCTCTGAGCCGTGCTACCTCGAGATTCATCATTAACCTCTCTTCTTCTTTTATTCAGACTTACAGTCCCAATCACCTCGTCAGGCTATAGCTACTACCTCTCCGTCACACGTAAGTACCCCAAGCCTGACAACTGGGGGTCTGGCCGGGAAATACTAACTCTAGACCACTTATTTTTCAAAAAATAATCCCGAACCTCTTGAGTAAGTCTATGAGCGATAGCCCCTCTTATCCTACCTTAACCTACGACATCATCTCTACGACTATCAAAAGAGAATCCGAAGTCACTTATTCTTATTACTGGAAAGTAAAAGAAATTAGGACATATCAAATCACTACTCAGAAAACTTATCTTAGATCCAACAACGAACTCCTTGGTCAGAACCAACACAAGAGAGTCGTAGCTATCCTCATCAAAAAGACTCGTCAGAACCTTGACACGGGTTCTCCATCTCCTCTGAACTCTTCGATCCGAGAGAATCTAGAAGAGACAGCTTCCTTAGCTATCCCTCATCAACTTATAGAGGACCATTCCTCTGACCAATCCGATTCTATCAACTAATTTTCTTTCTTATCCGAATCTCTTTCTTCTAATAAATATCTCCCTGAAAAACTAACAAAAAACAAAAAAATATATATTTTAATTATCTCGATCTCTTCGCCTAATATTCTTTATCCACTTAAACCAAAAAACAAAAAAAAAAACCAAAAACATATCTTCTTTTCAATACTCTACTCTCCTTGACTATAATTTTATCTTTCTCGAAACCAAAAACAAAAAACAAAATATATATCCTTTCAACTATCCATCCAACTAATTACTCTATCTAATGGCTGATACGACTAATCCAACCGGTCCTACTGGATCCGCAACAGCTCAGAATGTCGCTACCGAAGTAGGCATTATCAGGCAACCTTGCCTTTCCCCTACTCCTAGCGAGTCTCCTGGACGAAGAGAAGAGACCAGTGACCCTAATCCTGATCCGAATCAAAGAGGTCATACTCCTAATACCACTGGTAGAAGAGATAGTGTTAATAGCAGAGAATCTACCGGTAAGCAAAATAAATTCTTAGGTTATTCTCATCAGCGATCTACTTTACCAACAGTGCCTGATGAAATGAATAGGCCTAGAGATTATAACCAAGACTCATGCAAACAACCCTACCAACGACGAGGTTTTCCATTGGCGTCAGTAATTCCTGCTGAGAGAAGGAAATATCTAAAAGAAAAGAACAGAACACTTACAGACAATTCTCCTATTAGTTCCGATCGAGGAGAGATTCGAGAGGTACTACTACCGCATGGCAGAGAACAGAGCTTGGTTAGACCGAGTCAACAATCAATCCACCGAAGAAGCTATCAGAGCTCATCTCAACTACTGCCGCGAAGATTTCTCCGAGATGATAGCGTTACGAGGCCGAGACAACGCATTAATCAGGACTCGAGGATGGGATCCCAGCTCGATCCCAGCGTCCCATTACTTAAACCCGATAGCAGTGAGTTTATAGAATCACCAATAATATCACCCCAGCTATCAGATCCTTCTAACCTACATCCTTCTGAAATAACAGAATCCCCGACCAAGGGACAATACCCAGAGAGGATTACCAGCGGAGAGAACTGTAGACAACAACAGAAATATAAACGAGAACCGCAACCAAGCGAACCCACCGAACCCTCACATCAGAAACAGAGCTCAGCGAGTCGAGGAAGAGAACATACATCATCAAGTAAACCCCCAAGTAGAGAGACGCCATACTATGAGAGACCCTCCTCGCCACAGACAGGATCACGAAGACAATCGAGAGAGATTCCAAGGACCGATTCGTACGAGGGCTCCAAGGAGGAATTGCAAATGGAGAACTTCAATCTACTCCGAGATGGTCAGAATAGGCCGTTCCCTCCAAGGAACGTATCAACATCTCGAGGAAGGAAGAATTCGTACTCAAAGAGGCAATCAGAATGCGCCTCCAGAGAACCATCGAGACAACCAACAAGGTTGGTAAATGATAAAGACACTGATCACTTGTTGTTACTTATTTCTTCTGTAAACTCACTCCTTACTAAGACAGAAGTAATAAATGATAAACTCACTCCTTTACAAAAGAAATGTGATACCACTGGTATGGCATTAAAGTACCTACTTACTTTCATTAATACTGTTATGCCAAAGAAAGCTGAATCTGAAGTTAAAGAAAGAATAGCTATGAGAAAATGGATAGAAACAGAAGTATTTGCTAAGTTAACAGAATTAAGCAATAAAATAGACAATTTGAATGAAAATAATAAAGAAAGTAATAGTCTTCAAGGAAATGTAAATGATGAAGAAAGAATGAACAAGAAAGAGAATAAGAGTGAAGTACAGATGCTTAGGATTGAGAAACTACATAAGGAATTAATAGAACAAATGGAAGAAAATAATAAGTATACTCAAAGTAACACGGAAAAAATAGAACAATTAGAGAAAGATTTTAGTAAACAAAAAGAAACATTCAACAGACTAGACAGGAAAATACAGGATCAAGTAGAAGCTCAATTTAAGACATTTGAGTCATATGCGGATAGCATTAATCTAAGTATGAACAAGTTGATATCCCAACTAGACAACAAAAAAGAATATGAAAATAGATTAATCAATTTAACAAATTCAGACAATAAATTATTGCAATCATTGAAACAAGAAGTAGGGAAATTAACAATAAGAAAAGAGGAAGAAGATAAACACATCACAATGGATAATAAAGAAGACATGGTCAAAAAAGACAAAGGGATTCCCCCACATATGATGACTTCCAATCAGGATAATAACAATCACAGAGAATACAGTAACAATAGTATTAATGAAAATAGATATAACAGAAATACAAGCAGCAGTATACCAGGAGAAGAATTAGATTTCACAATCCAAAAAATGATACTAAATGGACTACCTAAAGTAACAGAATGGGAAACATTTGATGGAGATGGAGCTTATAATCATATAGATTTTATAGAATGGATAGATACACTGAAAGATGATCACAATATGCCAGATAAAATAATTACTTCTAGATTGAACTTACTACTTAAGGGAGCTGCCAATACATGGTATAGACAGAAGAAAGCAGAAGTAGGCAATCAGAATTGGGAAAGTTGGAAGAAACTGATAATGGAGAGATACACAACACCCAATTGGAAGAGAGAAGTCAAGAGTGCTATTAGAGGAGACAGATTCAGGATAGATGGAGAAGTCTCAGCAGCAGCCTGGGTAACTAGACAAGAAAAGAGGATTAGAGCAACTGAAAGAAATATTGACAAAGAAGGGATCATAGAAAAATTATTATCATTACTAGACCACGATATAGACTACAAGATAAGAAGTGTCATGAAAGAAGGAGAAGATGTGACAGATGTGATAAATCACCTGGAAAATATTGTTAAAGTAAAAAAAGCTAAGAAATTAAAAAATAATAGAGAGTACAACAGATTTAACAAGAAACCATATAATGACAAAAGTAATGATAACAAGAAGGATGAGAAAATAAACACAGAAGAAAAAAGTAACAGAAATAAAGATAATAATTTTAATTATGAAATTACCTGCTATGAGTGCGGCAAGAAAGGACACAAATCCACTAAATGCCCAGAAAGAGCTAAAAAGAACAATATTATGTCCATGAATAATGAAGATAACAGATACCCAATGGATGATGATGAATCAGTAAGATCATTACCTTCAGTAAACAATGAAGAAGAGTCAGAAAATGAGAATATAGGAGGTTATGCAATACTGAGTAAAGAGAATATTGAACTTATGCAGGTGATGAAAATTCCGGACAAAAAAGATACAACTAAAAGTAGAATATTTGATCCCTCTAGAGAAGAGAAAGAGGCAGTAATGCACTTACAAGGAGGTACAAATATAACTAACATTATATGTAATAAATTCAAAATTAAATGCCTACTGGATGGAGGAGCCTTTTGCTCAATTGTAGGACCAAAGTTACTTGATGTGATAGAACCTGAGTGGCATCAGAAAATACACCCAGTACAACATGACAAATTTTTTAGTTGCAATGGGAAACTAAAACCATTGGGAGTTATAAAATTACCCATAATATTTCCACATAACAAAGGGAATGTAAAGATAGTAACAGAACTAGTGGTAATGAAAGACTATAAATTAAACTCTATGTATCCAGACCTTATCCGCCTAAACTGAGAAGATCTGCATACCCAGCCTCACCCAGGAGTAGAGAAGCACTTCAACAACATGTCACAGATTTAGTTAAAATGAAAGTCTTAAGGAAAGTAGGACCTAATGAGAATGTGGAAGTAACCACTCCAGTCATTATAGCATGGCATAATAATAAATCACGCATGGTTGGAGATTTCAGAGCACTTAATGACTACACTATAGCAGATAGATACCCAATGCCAAAAATCAGTGAAGCACTAACACAATTACAGAATGCTAAATTCATAACATGTATGGATGTACTTAAGGGATTTCACCAGAATAAGATACACCCTGAAAGCAGGCACCTGATGAGAATTATACTACATATGGGCATTTATGAATACCAAAGAATGCCTTTTGGTATTAAGAATGCTCCCTCACACTTCCAAAGAATGATGGATATTGAATTTAACAAAGAACTGAGAGAAGGATGGTTAATCATATACATAGATGATATAATCATATTCTCTGAAGAATGGAGTGACCATCTGAAAAAATTAGATATAATATTGAAAAAAGTAATTCAGATGAACATGAAGATATCTATGAATAAATGTCAATTTGGTTTCCAAGAACTGAAAGCCTTAGGTCACATAGTATCAGGATTAAGTATTGCTATTGATAAAAATAAAGTAGCAGCAGTACTACTAAAGAATATGCCACAAAATGTGAAAGAACTACAATCCTTCTTAGGGTTTGCAGGATATTATAGACAGCATATAAAAGATTTTGCTAAAATAAGTGGACCTTTATACAAAATATGTAGCCCTAATACCAGCTTTGAAATGACAGTAGACAGAGTGGCAGCATTTGATAAACTAAAAAACATGCTTACATCAGCACCCATATTATTTATGCCTGATCCAAATTCACCCTATAAATTATATGTAGATGCATGCATGGAAGGACTGGGAGCAGCACTTCACCAAGTTCAAATTAGAGATGAAATACCTAAAGAAGGAGTTATATGCTACATATCCAGGACATTGAAAGATAGTGAAAAGAAGTATGGAGCAAGCCAACTGGAGTGCTTATTCCTTATATGGGCCCTAGATAAACTATATTACTACTTAGATGGTTGTGAATTTGAAGTAATAACTGATTGCACAGCTTTGAAATCATTACTTAATATGAAGACACCTAACAGACATATGTTGAGATGGCAAATAGCCATCCAAGAGTGGAGGAATAGCATGACAATTAAACATAGAGAGGGTAACATACATAAGAATGCAGATGGACTAAGTAGATGGTGTCTAGATAATGAACCAATGAATCCTGCTTGGGATGGTGAGATAGCAGCCAAAATTATGGCCATGTTCCCAGAAAATAATCCAGAAGAAGAAATGAATGATAATATAGAGAATTGTAATATCTATGGAGTACATATCACGGAAATGGAAGAAGAATTCTGGGAGGAAATTAAAAATAGTTACATAAATAATATTAATACTAATAAACTGGTAAACCTACTACAATTCAAGTTTAAACAAAATAACATTAGCTCTACACTAGAAGAACCGTGGAAAAGTGCATTTGATGGAGGAGAATTTTCTCTATTAGATGGACTACTATTTCATAAAACACAATACTCCAGTGCTGTAGTATTACACAAAAGAAATCATATTAACTTATTCCTGAAAGAATGTCATGACAACATTACAGCTGGACATTTTTCATTTGATAGAACACTGGAGAGAATCAGGCAAGTAGCATGGTGGCCAAATTATATTAAAGAAACTAAAGAGTACTGTGAAACATGTGATAGATGTCAGAAAGCTAACAAAGCCACAGGTAAAAGGTTTGGTCTAATGCAAGAAATAGAAGAACCAACTGAAAGATGGAGTGTAATTAATATGGACTTTGTTACAGGACTCCCAGCAGGAGGACCTAATAACTATAATGCAGTATTAGTAATAGTGGATAGATTCTCCAGAAGAGGCAGATTCCTGGCTTGTCATAAAGAAGACACCGCAATGGACACAGCTTTACTATTCTGGAATACCATAATTTGTGATGTAGGCTGCCCCAGATATATAATCTCAGACAGAGACCCAAAATTTACATCAGCATTTTGGACTAATTTATATGATATATGTGGAACTGGACTAAAATTCTCAACAGCTTATCATCCTCAGACAGATGGATTAGCAGAAAGAATGATACAAACATTAGAAGACATGATTAGAAGATATTGTGCATTTGGACTAACATTTAAAGATAAAGACAATTTTACACATGACTGGGTAACTTTATTACCAGCTTTAGAATTTGCATACAACTCTAGCAAGCACAGCACTACTAACAAAACACCCTTTGAATTGGAAAGAGGGTGGACACCATGGTTTCCTAGAGACATACTAATGAGTAAGACAATTAATATACATCCAAATTCAGAAAGTTTTCACAGGATGATGACTAAAGCAGAAAGATTTGCAGCTGAATGTGTCAAAAATGCAGTAGAATACAACAAAATCAGATGGGATAAGACCCATAAAGAACACCAATTCAAAATAGGAGACCTAGTACTGATTTCAACCTTTAATTTCACAAACTTGAGTGGACCTAAGAAATTGAGAGATTCCTTTGTGGGACCATTTGAGATAAAAAATTTACACGGAAAGAATGCAGTAGAAGTGTACCTGACAGGAGAACTAGAAAAGAAACACCATACTTTCCCAGTGAGCCTAATCAAACCATATGAAGGAAATGATAAAAGTAAATTCCCACTTAGAGGAAACCAGAATGATCAACAGAAACAATTACCAGTAATACAAGATGAGATAATTAAGATAAAAAAGATATTGCAACACAGAAAGATAAGAAAGAATAATATAGACATTGTACAATACCTAGTGAGATATAGTGGGAGCAAAGAAGATGAATGGCTAACAGAGAAAGAAATACCTGAAAACCAGAAATTACTTAGACAATATAGGATGGATAAGAGACAATAAGTTCACCTAGGAAGGATTCACCCTTTTTAGGGGTGGCAAATGTCAGGGGTTAAGTAATCCTAACCCCCTCATAAGAATTAAAAAAGAATAAATAAAAAGAAATAAAGCGCGGGACGCTTGAATGAATAAAAGAATAATGATTAAAGAAGCGGCGCAGCAAGAATTCAAGAATCAACGCGACGCGACGCGTACCCATCCCCAACAGTTGAAAGATCATCTACTAGTTCCATCTTGTTCCTTGAACCCCAAGGAATAGGATGACCACAAACTGGCCAGCCGGTCCTACAATATTTAAGAGAACCGCTGGCCCGATCACTTCCCTTTTTCTTCTTCCCCAGACCAGTATATAATCACGAAAGCTTAGTTACTATCAGTAAAACTAGTACACTCAGGACTTAGCCAACACTCTAGCACTCGTTAATTCTGCCGCCTTTGCTTCAGGATTTTCACTACCTAGTATCGAGGCCCCTGCCTACTACTTTCTTGATAGATCTAAAGATTAGTATTATACTCGTCTCTACGAATCACGACCTCCTACGCCTTATTACGACCTACTACGATCCTCCGACGCCCTCTCCAAGTTCCCTTTTGACTGTTCTCCCGCTTGTTAACTTGAAGTGTTAACATTCCCAACTCTAGCCTACAGAGATTGGTTGCCCCGGTCGTCAGACTGCTGGAAGATTCACGTAAGACTCATCGAGCTATCTCTGAGCCGTGCTACCTCGAGATTCATCATTAACCTCTCTTCTTATTTTATTCAGACTTACAGTCCCAATCACCCCGTCAGGCTATAGCTACTACCTCTCCGTCACACGTAAGTACCCCAAGCCTGACACTATATGTAGGACTATCTAGCAGTGATTTTCTGCGCTACATAATAATCTTCTCACTACGAGGTGCAAGACTCTCATCTCTCCATGTCCGACATGTAAGTCATGATAGATGGATAAACTCCAATGGTATGTCGCACTAGTCCTAGAACAAGTGGATAGCCATGGAAATCATTCAAATCGCTGGAGGGGGTGGCAGTATCTCAATTGCAGGACAATGGCAAATTCCAAACAGGAGAAGCTTGACAAGAATATCATTGGGGGCCTCGCAAGCATCCGTACAAGGGGAATTAGAAGCAGCGGAGATTCATAAAAACTGGTGTTTTTTTGGGGGGTGTGTTGTGGAAAGTAAGGCGCGCCCTCGGAGATTTCTTGTACTTCTCCGCTCCGCAACACGCTCTACTCCGATTTGTTGTCCGGGGTAACTTGCTTGATGGTCTTGTAGGTAGGTAAAATAACTCTCTTAATTGATCTTTTGTAGGTAACACTCTAACTCTAGTCTATCTCTAACAATTCTTTAGGCTAATACACGATTCACTCCTTAGTCCCTCTGTTTTCTGATATGTTCCGAGTCATAAGTTTTTCTCTCCTCTCCCTCTTCTGCTCCGAGCTCCCCTCCTCCCAAGTATCCCACACTCCAGTTCCTCCCTGCTTCCCACGATGTCATCCGCTGTCACCCCCTCAGACTCCGCGTGTCACCCCTCCGACGCCTGTTGGTCCAGGTACTCCTCCGGCCGCTCATAAGCAGGTCTCCCACCGCCGCTTCCGCCTCTGGTCCGCTCCGAACCCCGCTTCCGCCCCTCGGTGCTCCCCGCTCCTTGTAGCCCCTCCGCAGTATACGCTGAACCCCCGTTCCACAGTCGGCCGTGAACCCCGGCGTCCGCCGGTGCCCGGATTCCCCCGCAGCAAGCTTTTCAGAACCTTGCACATTCGGTCTACTTTTCCCCGCTTTCCCGCGCCTTGGAAAGCTAGACTTTCCACTAATGCACCACCGCTTTCCTCAGCCTGCGTGCACAGCGTCAGCTCCGCGTGCTTTCCGCATCAGCCGTGAGCATTCCGCATGCCCCCCAAACAAACAGGCCAAGGCGCGCTCCCGCCGCCACAGCGTGGGTGAGTGCCGATGATTTGACTTTAGACCAAGAATCGGTTGTCGCTTGATTCGAGCAGTGAGCAAATGTATCCGGCAGGCCAAGCGTTGCTCTCAAGTTGTCGTCCGGGTCGGCCTTGTAGCTCTGATTCGATCGACCAATCCTTGCCAAACTCCACAAAACGCTACCGATGGAATCCCGATGGATGTCTCTATTTGTGTACACCGAGACAGAATAAAGCGGACTTCGGTGGAGAAACTAACAGAAGACTGGCCTAGATCCGAACGTGAATCAGAATTGGTCAGTCTTGGATTCAGTTTCAAGTCTCTTGAGAGTCACAAGTCAAGTCCAACGAACTTACCATATGATAGGGAAAACAGACACTTGTTTTTTTTCTTTTTGATTTTTCATTTTTTTTTTTGAAGTTTGAATTTTTCTTATAAGGTGAGATAAAGAAATAGAGTAACAAAATTGAACGTAGTTTGGAGGTAATGTTGGTGGCCGAATTGAAGACAAACAAATCATTGGGATTCCAAGGGCGGTGCAACACAACAACCCTCTGGACAATAGTCTTCAGGTTCCGGCCTGGGGGGCTCGATGGAGGTGCATGTACATTTGCTAGGTTTTGAACAAGTTTGGGCGATGGGCGGCTGAACACAACAACCCTCTGGACAATAGTTTTCAGGTGCCGGCCTGGGGGGCTCGATGGAGGTGCATGTGCATTTGCCAGGTTTTGAACAAGTTTGGGCGATCGAAATATGGCAAAGAACTAGGGAAACTAAAAGAATTGCTAGGGTCGAACGCATTTTCTCAAACAAAACTAATTAAGTCTCTAAAGGTCTGATAGGATATGGTGAGGACTGGTTGTTCAGCTTGAATGCGATACTAAAGAGATTCAAGGGCCGGTTGGGGGGAGGAAACGACGTAGAAGTGCAAGGCCGAACAGGTTATATAGACCAAGGGCAAAGAATGCCGGGTGAGTGATAGATCCGCAGGCACATGTGTGGCTGGACATACATAGTACTTGAAATATGTATGGCAGCCAGAAAGCCATTGGTGCTTCCCGTCAGCCCATCAGATGCCACCGAAGGGTAAACCTCATAGCCTTCCCGGCCCTTCGAACTCTTCATCTTTATGACACGGTAGGTAGTTGTATGTACTGTAGGTGAGAGGATGACCAGATGCCAGAGGGCAGATTACACCAGAAAGCCATTTGTGTTTACTGCTAACTTAACTAAGTCCTCCCTGCGCGAGTACGGTATTACTTGAGGAAGTTTCCGTCCTGTGACACTTTGCGGTGGGCATCTCTACTATCCAGCCAGCATTTTTTTTTTCATGGTGGCTTCGACACCAGCCAGTGCTTCACCCCAGTAAACCTCCCACCAGGGGGGGACTCAGTAAGTACAAAGGCGCTCTTGAAAGAAAAGGGCCTCGAATACTTGCAGCCTTGATATGTAACCCGTCTCCACAATTGATGTATGCATGCGTTGGCATTTTCACATCCGCAGAAAGATATAAAAAAATTAAAATCGGTGCAGAAAAATGTCCCCAACACAAATGATCAGGTGGGTCGATGTCACAACAAAAAGAGCAAACAAACCAAACAAAAAAAGAGAGATCTAAATAAGTATCTATTTTGAAGTATCTACAATATTATCAACACTTGTACAAAAATACACACACACAGGTTATTTATAAATAAACAAATGGTAGATAGAATTGTATGGATAATCAGAACTCGCTAAGAAATAACCCAACAACGAAAAAGTGAAGTACATCCATGATTCTGATAAGCCGATTATGATCTACTGTGATTTCGTACAATGATTGTTTTTTTTTTTTGAAGAAAGGAAAGAGAAAGAGAAAAAAAAACAGCCGATGGTTTGTATGTAGACAGACAGAGGGAAGAAGCGGTACATGTGAGATTTTGGGAAGTGAGATGAGTGGCGAGGGGTTGAGAGAGATATGTAAGTAAGTAAGTATCTAAAGTTTCAGTAATGAAGATCAGGTAAGGAAAGAGAGGAAATAGAGGAAGATCAAACAAAAGGGAGAAAATCTAAGAGAGATCGAATCCGGCCCCAGCATTGATAGCATAGAGCACTTTCTCTCGGAGTTCCGCCTCGGTCTGATACTCGGGCAACTTCAGCAGATTGACGCAGGTTGAGGCCGACGGTAGCCGACTGCGATCGACACCGGAAGACCGGATCGCGAAGGACGGCCGCAGCTCCTTGAAGCCTAAGAGTGGCGGCCTCGCACATGAAGTCACAAATCGGAGTAGTTTCCGTTTCGTCAGATTATCAAACTCTCTCAAGACCTTCCAAAACTGGTTTTTTGATAATCATCAAAAAAAGAAGGAAGCAATAATTGAGTTTTGTGTGACAGGAGAACTTTTAATGCTTCAAGAAAAATGATAAGAAGAAGCGGATATGAACTGACGATTCTGATCGTCGGATGTGACTCGTCCCAGCCCCCATAAACGGTCCACTGTTGCATATCATCGATGTCGAGATCCTGGCCGTCGAGCCCGCCGACCAAGACCTTCAGTTCGAGCTGATTGAACATCCTCAACCACTTCAACTCGATGATATCGTTGAGCCCCTTGAAGAATGCCGCACACTGGCTCTCGAGCTGGATGTTCAACTTGTAATTGGACATCAGATAGATGTAGTTGATCCGGTTCTGCGCCGTCACCGACGTCTTCGAACCTTCTGGGATCAGCTCGATCGTCTCCGACGCGTCGAATTCATTGTTCGTCACCGTGAAGTTTAACGATAGGTCTGCCTCGACGTCTCCCTTGTAATGTTTCAGAAATATCAAGCCTTGGTATAACTCGGGATCCAATGATGCTAGATCATCAAGATATGACTGTTGATATCAAACATCAGTCGCCACAGAGAAAAAGAACGAGAAAAACCTTATACATGAAAAGTTCTCATCAAACATACCTGCTTGCCTAGCCATTTATTAAGAAAGAAATCGGCGAAATCGATGTCGATAAGGATGCCTTCGTACAAAGCTTTACCGAGGACCCTTCCCAAGAATTTGTACCATTCCAAGCTGAGGGGCTGACGACTATAGCTATGAGGATTAGGATAGATCTCCTGATTTTTATTGACCAACCAAAGACCTTTATTGACGTCGAAGACTTCTTTAGTCAGACTAGTCAGGAACTCCTTGAACACTCCACCACCATCGATGCCAGCCTCTTCGAGCCCATAGGGATCGATGAACTTGATCTCGATCGTCTCCTTGAGTCTTGGTCCAAGTGCATTGAGATGGGTGAATCCGTCCTCGGAGACGAACTGTCTTCGGATCGAAGCCTTGTGCCGATTCTCTCCAAACGAATGCAAGTCTAATCCTAAGCGATGTCGGTCCGAGTTGATAAACGTCCGGAAAATCGCCACACGTTGTTCGAACGGGATCACGAAGGGGATATTGTTCAAGACGCCAAGTCTCGGACTGATGAACGCCAGCTGACGCTGTGAAACTCGAGCCCGGGAGCCACGCGAGGACGAAAGATGATTAGAGATATCCAGATCCGGATCCTGGTTGAGAAGATGCGCAGGGCTCTGTAGTTGATCCTCTCGGATTTCCTCCAAGTGAGATTCCTCATATACCACCGTCTGCATAAATGACTGTAAATCGAATGTCGATGTCATGGACCAGAAACCGGGTTCACAGAAGGGCCGTCTTGAGCTGTTTTTGGTTTATGCGTAAATGAAGTTAGCAAACAAGAATGGAAGAGGGGGATTGCGGATTTAAAAAATAAAATAAAAAGATGAGGGGCCCTCACTCTCTGATGTAAATTTGCTGCAATAGACGAGTGGCCAAAGATCTTAGGTATTCCAAGCTAACATGAGTGCCGACCACGCAGCCCTTCTTGATATCCGCTTGTCCTTCGGTCCAATACAATCCGAAGGCAAGATTTCTCAACAAACCAGCCAAGGTGACGACCTCATCGGTCATCAGGGGATTTCTACTGGTTGAGATGACGGATGTCTTGGCGCGTTGGAAGGATAGGGTTGAGGCGACTTCGGCCTCGTCGTCGAAGAATTCCTCGTCCCCGAGTGTCATCAGATATCGAGAATAGAGCTCACACAATAGAATCAGATCTTCCCATTGTCCGGCGAGCTTAGAATCTTTGAGAGTCGTGAGAACTCCTTGAGGACTTCCACCTGATTTCCGATCGCGCAAACTGACACTGATCTTTCCTGGACGGACTGACATGCGCCATAGCTCCTTGATGAAGCCTCCGCTTTGGTTGGCTGAGCGACTAGAAGGTCCCACCGAGGGCGTCATATAGATCAATGTGTTCAGGACAGTTTCCTTTGAGGTGGGCCATAGATAAATGATCGAAACCATCAGCCGGCATAAATGAGGTTGACAGGTAGAGGAATACCTGGCCGACATTGAACAAAGCTGAGAGAGATGTTCGGACTGGATGAGGATTGATAGCCATTGTAAGGTTTTTGGACTGATAGAATTTAGGACGGTCGTTGTTAGATTTGAATCTGAAGGTTCGTTCATCTCGATATCTTCCTCTTCAATGAGGATCGGATTATTTTTCGCACCGCTACTTTCTCGGATGATCTCGTTGGAATTGCTTGCTGATGGATGGGCGATTTTTGGAGTTCGCGACTGAGGGAGCCGTCTAGCCTTAACAGAGGTCTTGTTTGCTAGATAGGTATCCACCTTGCGAAATAGCGCAATTGGAATTCGATCGAGACAGAGCTGAATGGAATTCAAATATCCTTTAAATCCGGTCTGATCCATCTGAACGACTTTTTTGGATCCCCAGACGAGTAAGTTCGACAAGAGATGTATGATCTCCTTAAGTTCTAATTCTTTGGCAAATCGTTCGGTTCCGGCGAGAATTTCGACAAACGGCAAGGAGGCTGAGAATTGGATCAAGGGTTGAATGCCAAGTCGATTGGGTAGGAGTGGGATCGTGAATATTTGAGCTGCGAAGATGCTGGCTAGATTAATCTTTTGATCTGGTGGAAGCACTTGAAAGAATGATACAGAAAGCTCGATGACCCGGGCAACGCTTTTGCTAACTGACTTGTCCGTAACTTCCTAAAGAAAACAAAGGAGACAGGCACGGTGAGTTTTGAGATTGAAAAATTGAAAGATGATGTGATCCACATACGAAGGCCGTGATGTATTTCCTCAACAGCTTCCAATACCAGGTACTACCCATGATAATCAAAGCTTGTAGATCTGAGCGACGGTTGAGGTCATTGACCATCTCCTTCAAAGCGGCCAGGAAGATTGGAGTGTGTTCTGATCGGGGGAAATCGGCGACTGTCTGGAGGATGCGCTTGATCATCAGTGGTATGATTCTTCTCCAGGAATGACCCAGTTCGTCATCCCTTTGGACATAGGTGAGGAAGGCTGGTTCTTGGTTTAGGATCGATTGATTCGCCCAGGCGACCAGTCTCCGTTGATCGTCGGTTTGGTTTGGGGTATAGAAGACCAAGATCAATCGTGATAGTTCTAGATGATCCTGTGGGGATAGTTTGAGGAGGGATGAGTTGGCCGGTCCATCGGAGTTATCGAAGATAAATGAGACCAGTTGATCGAATCGATTCCTTAATGCCGTTTTAGTCCGCCCTGCATCCGTTCTACTACGCCAGAAGGTCTGTTGGGGGATCAAACAAATAAGCAACTTGAACTGGTCGTTGTAGTCTGAGCTCGATCTCTTACCTGGATGATTGAGACTGCCGCCTGTTGATGTTTGAATTTCTCTCTGAGCTGTCGTTCCTCCTTTGCTCTTCGCATGATTTCGGATGGGTTGTTGAGGTTGGATTGACCACCGAGGTTGATCATGGGCCGTCTTTTAGCTGATCCCGTGAAGGAGTACATCTTGGGATACTTTCTTGTGGTTCTTTCTTTGTTTTTGGTAGTTGGACTGAAGGTAAATAGTAGGAGGAGAGGCTCACACCACACTAAACCATGCCCTGTAGGCTGTGACGGAGTGTGAGTATGTCACAGTGCCTGTCACAGGATCGTCCATTCGATCTGTGACAGGGCTCCCTACCACTAATAATCCACCAGTGGGCAGTGCCAGCCAACCAACCAACAACGACCATGAACTTCAACAGCTGCCAAAAACTATGGGGCACGAGCACCTGCATCTCCCGATCGATCGGATCAGCAAAAAATGCCACCACACCCTTGAATGCCTACTCTCGAACTCACTTCTCCTCTCAGGCGACCCTTCATTCTGAGAATGAACAGAACAAAATGACCTTATCCAAACTAGTCGAAAAGGAAGTCAAGGCGAAACCTCTCAATCCTCTTCCCACCTTCGGTAATCCAATTCCTACACCAGATGAGAAGAAAACCGGAGAATTAATCAGATCTTTCATCTTTTTTTATTTTTTACAGGTTCTCAATGGGGCAAATACTTCAGTGATGGAAGTCGTCGACTGTCTTTCAATCCAAACCAGGTCAGTATTTTCCCACAATTTGATCAGAGCTGAAGGGTGAGAAGAGATAAGACTGATATGGACTTGGGTTGACAACAGGTCTTGAAACCCTCGGATTTACAACTAGAGAACCTGATCCATCCAGCGGACAGGGAGAGTCGGAAGCCACGGCCGGTAGTCCGACGGCCGCCGACGAAGGACGAAGTACGGCTGACGGACCCATTCCTATACTACAACATCAACATCCTCAAGGAGCCTTACAATCCCGACCTGCTCGCTAACTTCATCACCCCACTCGGTCGGATCAAGAAACGCGCGCTCACCGGCCTCTCCAAGGGCAACCAGAAAAAGGTCTCCAAAGCTATCCGTAGGGCTCGCTGTATGGGCTTCCTGCCCTACTTCGGGAAACCTTTGGAACGATACTCTGAGGATCACCAGCAAAGAAGAGACGGTCCTGGCGTAGATTTACCCCCTTTTGCTCGTTAATCAACGCCCATTTCTACCTTTTTGTTGTCCAGCAAACAAAATTCATCCGCACGTTTTATAGCTCGTCGTGATCTTTCAAACGAAACAAAAAAAAACATCAATTGCCCTTGCGCTGTACATACATACTGAATCAAGAGGAGCATGAATCCGAGATGTGAAAATTGGCTTTGCTGGTAAGGATAAGGTCTGATAAATCTAGCCCTATCCGGGAAGACGTACACAGCAAATCCCAAAAAAATGGAGCCTTAAGGATTGGTCTTTCTACATGTTTTTTACGGATTGTGTAAGCATGTCTGGCACAAAATCAAGTGATGCCTAGAGGGAAAAATTGCACCACTGAACCTTTTTGAAGTGCATTGATCAATTCGATCAAGTGGTATGTAGAGGTGTGATCTTGCAACATAAAAACCAGTGCAGCTCTGCCTGCACAACATACCTGACTATAATGGGGCTACAGTATCCCATCAAGTCAACATTGTTTTTCTTTTTGACAAGGCGAGTCCAGACTGTCCATGGCTTAAGAGTTCTTTGTGATTTTCTACCCACATTTCAAGGGAGATAACCCACATGATGTATGTAAGAGAAAACATGAGCCGTTTTTCTGCCTTTCAGTCACCCAGCTTGAAGAAAGACGCATTTCTGTGACCAAAAAATCAAACTCAACTCGGATTCATTCTTACAAATCAACATATCAAGTACACATGAGGGCAATAAAACGATTACATGCATCGTCATATCTAATAATCGGTTTTACTTACTCGATGAAGTATTAAACCCTGCATTTCCCAAAGAAAACAAGGTTGGTCAAACAAATCAGAAATATAAACTCTTGCAGAGATTTTAATGGACCGTACCTGAGGAGCGGGTCCGACCCAGTTGTTCGTTGTCGTTAATCACAATTTGGTCTTGCCCGTGGCGATGTTACCCCGTCTGACGGGCTCGGCTTCAGCATCCTGAGCGCTGGAACCAGGGGCCCCAGGCTGATCGGATTTCTTGCCGGCTGGCTTGTAAGAGTGCAGCTGATCTCTCCTGACGCCAAGCTCAAGCAGCTTGGAAAAGGCGTCGGCAAAGTCGGAGAAACGCGTATTTGTCGACCCACTGACTGAACGAAGAATCGGAGACCAAGGCGCGGTCGGTCTGGAAGTATCATTGAATTATTTGAGGGAATAGGATCAGTATAGCGATATCGACAGTCAAGAAACTTCATGCATCATTGGAACCTACAGGCAGCATCATCAACTCTTTGCCAAAGTCCGAATTCTTGAGCAGCTTCTTAGCACATCCACCAACCGCTGCGATGGCCCTGCCAGCACCTGGCAATGGCGTGGCAGGTAACTTGGAGAGGGAACAAGGCCTATGCCATTGCCAGTGGTTGGCTTATCCCCCCCTTTTTTTCCCTTCAATTTTGCACATAATAAACTGTACAAATTTCCGAATGGAAACCAGTCTTGGTCAACCCCTGGCAGGAGAAACACCATTCAACTGGAGGCAGGAGCTCATCACCAGTGCCACCCAACCATCTTCTTGGTCAGTACCTTGGATGTCTGTCATCTGTTTTATGTATATAACAACACCAACCAACAAGTACCTGCATGCAAAATCTTACTCCAGAAAAGATCCCTCATAACTCAACGGAGAACACACCATTAGCACAGCAAATATTTTCTTTGACCAATTCTCCAATGGAACCTGGTCAGTGATTTTCTTTGACATTGTTCCGAGTTACTTTGAACGGTTATATTCTGATTGTATTTCTTTGTCTCCCTGGCCCTCTTTCAGATATTGTGCTCATTTTATTGGCCCAATTGGCTATCCTGGCGCTGTTGTGGAAGATCCTGGTGCTGGTGCGGAAGATCCTGGCGCATGTGCGGCAGCGTGAGTTGTTTCTTTTTTTTGGATTGGTGATGTTGATTGTATAATAATAATCAAACAACTCTTCAAACAGTGTCTTTGCAGCGGAATCAGATCACTCAACAGCAAAACATCGGGGACAGAAAAGGTCAACAAGATGCTTAACGACACCCGGCTCTGCCTCTTTTTTTCCATTTCCTTTTTCTCGCCATTTCTTTTCTTTTCTTTTCTTTTTTTCTCTCTTTTGCGTTTTTGCGTTTTTGCTTGACCCCGGCCTTTCTTTTCCTTGTGTATATCATAAACCCTTTCTGTTTACCTTCCTCAATCTTGTTCTTCTACTTCACCTGTCATTCTTTTGTGTACATAGCTTCTGATATAAGGAAAAAACTACATTCGTTGAAAAATACTCGAGGGTTGTCCTGGGCCCTTTTGGTGGATGACACTATACCAGATCAAAGCATTTCTATGACCAAAAAATCAAACACGACTCGAATTCATTCTTACAAATTGACATATGAAGTACACATGAGGGCAATAAAACGATTATATGCACATCTTCTTTTTTTTGATCTACGAGGAATTTACTGAAGTACACATCTAAATCTCATACAGAGAGAAACAATTTTTTATGGCCATATCTAATAATTGCTTTTATTTACTCGATGAAGTTTTAAACCCTGCATTTCCCAAAAAAAAGGTTGGTCAAACAAATCAGAAATATAAACTCTTGCAGAGATTTTAATGGACCATACCTGAGGATCGGGTCACCCCCGGTTGTTCGTTGTCGTTCACAACTTGGTCTTGCCCGTGGCGATATTACCCCGTCTGACGGGCTCGGCTTCAGCATCCTGAGCACTGGAACCGGGGGCCCCAGGCTGATCGGATTTCTTGCCGGCTGGTTTGTAAGAGTGCTGATCTCTCTTGACACCAAGCTCAAGCAGCTTGGAAAAGGCATCGGCAAAGTCGGAGAAAAAGAGGTCTCGATCCTCGGCGTATTTGTCGACCCACTGACTGAACGACGGATCGGAAACCAAAGCGCGATCGGTCTGGAGGTATCATTGAATTTTTTTGAGGAAATGTGATCAGTATCACGATATCGACAGTCAAGAAACATCATGCATCAATGGAACCTACAGGTAGCATCATCAACTCTTCGCCAAAGTCCGAATTCACAAATTGCAGTGGTCCACCCCACTTCTTGGGCTTCCACTCTAATTTCTTGAGGAGCTTGAAGTATTGGTTGCTGAATCTTGTGGGCTAGTGAGCAGCGAGAGGATTATTGGAGACACCCACAAAAAATAACAGGCAGGATGAGTTTCCGCGGATTCCCGACGTTCAGAGTTTCGACTTACATTGTTCACCCAAGGGCCTTCGTAGCCTGATCGGTCCGTGTGGCATTTCTGATGAAAAGCAAAAACAAAAAAATCGAAATCGAAAGATGAGCCTGAGTGTGATGGAAATCGTTTGATTGTAACGAAGAAATATTTAGGTATCCAAGACTTACGCCCAAGTTATGGGCTCCGGACAAGGCGACAATCTCGCGATCATTGAACCCCATACGATAAAAGACTTGGCGAAGATGGTCATGTGCCAAGGAGGCATCAGGAAGTCGACCTCTAGGTGGGCACTTGGAGTCATCCATGAAGTCCGTTCGGCCAGGCTTCCAGTGTACTTGGGGCCCGCCCATCTCCTTTACCGCTACCACACCTATGGATTCAACGATGGATGAGTTGGATGTGAGATTGAGTCAGGTGAGAGTAAGTTGGACATACCGGCTAGTGTCCACAGATCAGCGTAGGTAATCCAAGGGTGTTCCTTCTTGACAGGTTCTAGAAATACTCGGGCATGTTGAAGTCCTGCGTTAGCGGGGTCCCCACCTTCGGCCTCGTATCTCATTCCGGCACCATCTGAGCCACCCGTATCAGTCTCCTTATCTGGTAAATTACGAAAAAAGTATCAGTCAGGTCTGCTGCTTAAGAATTGAGAATTGGTCTTGAATCAACTTACCATAGGTCCCGGCAGCATGCCAGGCTAATCGAACGAGCACTGGGCCAGCGGTATGTTTGACATCCTCGTCGTAATTATCGTAGCCAGGTTGGTTAAGAATACGGCGGATAGAGTCGCAAACAGCGTCGTAGTCGAATTCTCTAGAGGGCATCGTGACAAATTCTTTGTTGTTATGAGTCCTACAGTTGCTGAGTTGCCGAGCGGATCATCTGCGGCTTAAATCAGCCAGGAGAGAGCACAGCGGGCGCACGGTCGAGCCTAATTAGAGTATCTCCACCCGGGGAGCTAAACCAGGTTGCTATCCCGTGTTTAGCAACCCAACCCAAAAATTCATCACCCACCCGGATGAGTTTCTATGTATAAGAAAAAGAAAGAAAAAAACTTTTATTTCTTCACATTTTTGACTAACACAGCGGAGAGGTAATTTCCTTGCTGGCTGGTAAGGCGTAGCATAACTTAATTGTACAAACTATTTTCAAGATTCTGTTTGCCTATTGTAGAAGTTGAATTTTCCACCCCAGGCTGGAGACTGGGGTCAATAGCTACATCCAGATTGATTACAGAAACAGTGCCAGGATTGACCACAGGAAGGACAGGCTCTTCAATCCTCGGTCCAATGGCTTTCTCTCTTTAAACTTTGCGGTTGTGTTTAGTTGTCCTTGGAAGGGGTTGAGGGACTAGTTTTTTCCTCATAGAGTTGGGGTTCAGAACCGGTTGTTGATAACATCTGGTGCCCAACTTCAGGATAAGCTTTGCTGGGATATTTTCTGCTGTTGATGCAAATTTTTGGAATACAGGCCATAGCAAATCCAGGTATTGATTGCTAAATTCAAGGGATTCATCTTCAGGCAAATCATGCAAGGCAGCTATGAAATGCATTACTTGGTTGTTTTGATCAATCTCTTCAATTTTGTTTGCATGGAAGGAAAAGCTTTGTTCATCTGAGAGGAGGACTGGATTTTCTTTGCTTCCTGAATTGAACAGAGCCAGATTGTCTTCCATATCAGATATGGCAAGAACAGTTGGAACCAGTTTGATATCAATTGATGAAATCTCAGAGGCGGGGTTGGGTTTCTTCTTTTGTTTGGCTTTTTGGGATTGGATGGCCAATTTCATGGCTTTGGCCACATGTTTCTCCCTTTGGTGCCGTTGTGATTGAGCCTTAGAAGCTTTGCTTTTTGCCATTTCCTGTAAAATTAATTTATCCAAACAAAATTTTGAGTTAGTTTTGCTCCAAAGAAGTTCAATTGAGCATGAGGAACTCACAAGCAATGAGACTGAGGTGTCAAAGTGAGAAAATTTGTGAGAAAACAAAGCAAAAATTGTCAAATTGTAGCACTCAGTTAGCGTTTCTCACACCATTTGCGGCGGATCTTGGGCAAAAAAATTTGGGAAAACCCAGAATCCAGGCCCTTAAATTCCAAACGGGGGTCCCCCAGGGGTATTTCTTGTACGGCAGGATGCCTTGCGCAACTTGAGTTGTAGTGTTACAAACCTGAGTCCTCAGCACAATTCCTATCTTCCGTACATCAACACCGACCAATCCATTCTCATTCACAAACTCAAATACTCAAATGACCTTAACACTAAGGTATACTCAAGAATCTACTTAACTCGGTGTTTTCTTTCATTTGATGTCTCTCTATGTACTACTACACATTAATACTCAACACATACACGGATTCTCTTTCACATCTGTTTCTACACTTATCAAATGCCCAAATTCCTTTGCTCCTCTGAATGCCTTGACTGCTATCCTTGTATATAAACAGTTGTACTGTTTGTCTCTGTTTGTTTCTCCTCATTCTTCTTGGAAATCAATGATTATCTACATACATCACTTCACAGTCACTGACTCTGCAAGTCACACTTCTCACAGAGTATTTGCATACTCTATTCCCATTCTCTTACTCTCCAGGAGCTCACTGCCCTCACTAGATGTAGTGAATGACAAGAGGTGATTTTACCAGAGGAATCAATTTATGAGGTTATTTTTACCATATATTGAATATTTAAAGAGACAATAATGAATTTTTATATTTTTGGTGTAGAAACACAGGAATAATTACCACACCGCAACGGCTGGGAGGATTCCTCCTGGCCGCTGATGGCACACCCTCAGCGGCCGAGAGAAACACTCCCGGCCGTTGAGAGTGTACACCCTCAACGACCAAGACAAACACTCTTGGTCATTGAGAGTGTACACCCTCAACGGCGGGGTGAAAACCTCTTGGCCTCTGAGAGTGTACACTCTTGGCCGCTGAGGGTGTGCCATCAGCGGCCAGGAGGAATCATCCCAGCCGTCGGGGGCTCTTTTTGGTTAGCGACCCCCAAAAACCTAGTGGGTTTAGGGGCATTGACCCCCAACTCCTTCGGGGGTTGGCTTTTTTGTTAAATTTCTTGGGGTTTTGCCTCCCAAACCCACTGACAGGCTTGGGGGATTGACTCCCATTCCTTGGGGATTTTGGTGGAAATTCCAGGGGTTTTGGGGTTTGGGAGCTGACTCTCCAATTTTTGGGAGTCAATTAGAGCATATCCACCGCGGGAGCTAAACCGGGTTGTCATCCCGCGTTTAGCAACCCAAAACCAAAGAATACCACCCACCCAGGGTGCTAAACCAGAAAAAAGTTTACCTCCGGAGGTAAAAAACCATGTTTAGTTGCTACATGTAGCAACCCTCTAGCAACTTGATAGCACCTGTGAACAACAAAACATCCATGACAGACATGGTTTTTTTCTTGTGAATGACAAACTCAACGAGTCAACGCTTTTCACTCCTTCCCCTGATTCATCTCAAGAAGATCGATATCACTCACCGACATCCACTCCTGTAAAAATTGATTCAATTTTGTAGTTTCATCTTTGTTCTATCTATGTACATCTTTTCACCCAATCAAACACACGTGGCTTGATAATGACACACCCTCCCCCCTCGCACACGCACACCCACATGCCAATTTTTTTTGGCGTGTGGGTGCACACGCCTTGCGGATCCTGGCGTGTCCCTGCACACGCCAGGGATCCACAGGGTCCAAACTCTGTTGGCTGGCGTGTGCAGGAACACGCCAGCGGACCTCTCTCCAGCTCATTGGGAGGGTTTCCTCCTGATGAGCTGGTTGTAAGCCCAGTTCATTGGGAGGGTTTCCTCCCGATGAGCTGGTCCCAGCAGACCTTGCTCCAGCTCATTGGAAGGGTTTCCTCCTGATGAGCTGGTTGTAAGCCCAGTTCATTGGGAGAGTTTCCTCCCGATGAGATGGACAGTGTACCAGCTCATTTGGAGGAAAATCTCTCAATGAGCTGGTTGTAAGCCCAGCTCATTGGGAGGAAAACCTCTCGATGAGCTGGTTTTAAGCCCAGTTCATCGGTAGGGTTTCCTCCCAATGAGCTGCTATGACTTTATAGTCTTTGGGCTGGGAGGAACCCCCTCCCAGCCTTGTTTTTCCCCTTTTTTCTGGATTCTCCGCCTCCGTCCCATAGGACCCATGCCTGGGTACTATGGGACGGAGGTGGAGAATCCAGAAATGTGTTTAGGAATCTGTGGCGTGCAGGCCTGCATGCCGGTCTACACTCTGTAGATTGGCGTGCTGGCCCGCACACCAATTTGCTTTGCCGTGCAGGCGCGCACGCCAATCCGCACCTGGTGTGCGGTTTGGCATGCGCAAGGGGGGCTGGCATGCATTTATCAACACCCCAAACACACACACACATTTTTGTTTTTTTAAATAACGGACAAAGATGTACAGTCTCCTCCCAGATGTTTATAGCCATCTACTTTGAGCTCCACAGCGGGAACCCAAAAGCTTCAAGTCACAAGGGTTTGTGAAATGGTGGAAAATGGGTTTCAAAGAATGAATATGAAAAAATAATAATAAAAAACAAGATTTTAAAATTTGTGAAAACAATAAAAGAAAATCAACTTTTTTTGAAAACTTTAATTTTTTGTTTGAGTCAAAAGTGAACACACAGAGGGAAAGTTTGGAACATGAAAAGAATGATTATAAATGAAAAATATTGATCCAAAAAAATTTTGAGCATGGTGGGTGGACACCCTGCAGTCAAAATTAGTGGATTGCAGTACCAAAATGCCACATTTCTTGATGAATGACCCCCTAGGCACCATTTTTAAACCACCAAGTAGTCATTTTTTTTCCAAATTTTCACTTCTTATTATTCATTCCAGATCTCATACTATCACTTTGGAGCTTTCATCTTTTCCTGAAAGAAATATTAGAGCTGTCAGTATTTGTGATTTTCTCCTTTTTACTTTTTACAAATTTTGTAATCTTGTTTATTATTATAATTTTTTCATATTCATTCTTTGAGACCCATTTTCCACCATTCCACCAACTATTGTGACTTGAAATTGTTTGGTTCCCTGTGTAGAGCTCAAAACAGATGGCTATAAACATCTGGGAGGAGACTGTACAAATGAGAAACAATGCATACAAGAATGGGAAAGAGCAATACATGCAAAAACAACCAAGGTTCCTGGTTTTTGTTACCTTCAAGCATAAGAGATGATTGGTTGCGTTTGGGGGAATGGATGGAAGAAGGGCAGGAGATTGGGGACTGAAGATTTACAGGTTGAAGTCTGAAGATTTAGCAACCATGGGTGGGTGTTGAATTTTTCTCAGTTCTTTCTCTCTCTGACCTTCATCTATTTCTAGTCATCAAAAATCAGACCAGTCTATAATTGTCAAGTAGCTTGTTTTCTGTTGTTATTAAGCCCCTTCTGAGTCAAATATGAACCCTAAGTAATTAGCTTATCTCAACAACTCACGTCTCTACGATGATTTCTTCTCTTTCCTGATCTCTTTGCTTGATTTATTAAAAACTGATTACTTAGAATTAACGACTCTAAATATCTGTGGTTTATAGCATGTTTTTCTTGATTAACTCATCCGGCTTGACTAAAAGAGACTGAGAAGTTTTGTACGGTTTGTTTCTTCCAAGACTCATGTTTCTTCCTCTCAGTCTTTTATTCAATATTCTTTTTTATTCAAATTAAACTCAACCACATTTCTGACACTTGTATCTAGTCTATTTAAACCTGGCTTTTTACTTGTGAATGAAAACTTATCGGTTCTTACACTCTTTTTCCGTGAACCGTTCCCAAAAAATAAGATCCTCATTTTTTGGCCCTCCACCTCTTGCGTGCCTAAGTTTTAAAATTTCAACAGTGGGCAGAAAACCCGGGCGGGTTGCTACATGTAAAATCTGAGTTGCTACTGTGGGGTTGTAGCAACCCAGTTTTACCTCCCCCAGTGGATATGCTCTTATCCAAGACCCTACTCAAAACAAAATACAATACAATTTAGTGCAGCTACAATACGTGTATTGTATTTGTTGCACCGTTGATCCCGGTGAAAATCCGGGAAAAACGGAGCTTGGGAGTCAATTCTCCTAAAGTTGGAAGTTGGTTAGCCAAGCCACAACTAAACATAGCCCCCAACAACTGGGATGATTGATAATCCTCTTGTTTTCTGAGAGATGCACACTCTCAACGGATGGGAGTTATCCCACTTGGCTGCTGAGAGTGTACAGCTCTCAGTGACCAAGAGGGATAGCTCCCAGCCATTGAGGTGTACAGTGGGTGGACCATTATTTTTGGCTGTTTGTTTTGAATTCTACAGCTTCAAAGCATAAGCTTGAATTCACAAGAATTGGTGAAGTAGTGCAGAATAGGCCCCAAAGAATGAATATGAAAAAATAAAAACAAAAAACAAAGTTTCAAAATTTGGGAAAAATAAAAAATAAAAATGTTTTTTTTTCACAAGCTTTGGTATTCATTTTGGGGGAGTGAGAGTGCTGAGAGAAAGGAAGAATGGAGAATGGGAAGAATGATTATAAATGAAAATCTAAAAAAATGGTTACCAGATGGTTTTAAACATCTGTTGAGTGGGGCATTCACCAGCTCACATTGTAGTAAAGCACTTGAATTTACTGTTTTGGATCTATATTGAACAGCCAACATGGCTCACCCTTTTTTGGTTCCAATTTTTTCATTTATAATCATTCTTGTCATGTTCCACTCTTTATTTCTCTCAGCACTCCCACTCCCCCAAAATCAATAACAAAGTGTTTGGAAAAAACCTCTTTATTTTTTATTTTTCACAAATTTTGAAAATTTGTTTTTTGTATTTATTTTTTCATATTCATTCTTTGGGACCTATTCTGCACCACTTCACCAATTCTTGTGAATTCAAGTTTATGCTTTGAAGCTGTAGAATCCAAAACAAACAGCCAAAAATAATGGTCCACCCACTGTACATGCTGGCATGGGGAGGGGGGCAACCCTCAACATGGGGATGAGTGTGTCCAAATGTTGACAGCCCTCCAGGCCATCAAAACTTGGAGGTAATTCCCTGGAAGATTTTTTTATGGATCTCAATGGGCACTTGATTAATATCACACTGTTCGACAATGTATCAATTGCTTTCTTTTCCCTGTCTGGTTACTGATTAGATGAGATGTCCTGTGATGGGATCCCATGATGAGAACTTGGCATGAGGTGAAAGAAGCCCTCCTTAAATAGTATATTTGACAACACGGCTGACTTGTGATTGTATCCCTAACCAATAATCTCTAAATGGCCAACTTGTGGTTATAGCGCAAACATGTAAATACCTAATTACCAGATTGTGCTAATTGATAAGTATGTATGCTTATGTTTGTTGATGAAATTTTTTGTTCATTTTAAACCTCTCTCAGATTTGAGGGCTTTGGGTTGGTTATAGACATGACAAAACAAGATTAGTTTAACTTTAATCATGGTCTCTCACCCAACAGGCCACAATATGATAGTGCAATGTTCACAATTGAGGAATATACCGGCATCGTTACTTCCAAACCTTTTCAAAGTTGGGAACATTACCTCCATGAATCTCGGGCTGTGTAGCTTCTGGTGCTTCATTTATTTGCATTATGTATCTCATACATCTGAAGTTTTAACGAGTGCAATTTGCTGTGTACCTGTGAGGTTTCCTTTTGCTTTTTTTCATCCTTGAGTGTAGACCTTATCCCCAGCAGATCACCAAGCTTGCACGTATCACAGGTGGCGGTGGAAAGCGGTGAACTAGATCATGGAACTATGCCTGAGCCTGAGGTAACAAACAAAAATCAGACAGTGGCATAATGAGGCCGCACTCACAAAGTATCAGGTTAAAAGGGCAGCACTTCGGCCTACTCTTCAGTGTCGAACTCATCACAAGTCCTTCTCGCCTTTGGGTTATCTCGTGCTTGATTGATCAGTCGATAATCCCTCTTTACTTATTATTTCCAGATTAAATATCAATTGGAACCAACAGCCCCTTCCATTAATTTCTTCTGTGGTCACTCTGTTTTTTACTGGAGATGCATCACTCATCAAATTTTCTTCACGACCCAGGTCCAAAAATTTCGGAGATGACTGATTACCCAGATGTTGTATCTGAAACGTACGCTCGAGAAGTAGAAATCGCCCCAAATGTATCCCTTGATGGAGGTGCCATTGAGCCTGGGATGAAGACGTTAGAATTTGAAGCACCTAAGCTATGCCACATGGTTAAACCTCGTGAGTTTTTCAGATGCTAAGTGCTTTCGTTCGGTATCCATCCTGGCTAGCTACTTTGATTACCGCCGCTTGCTGACATCCTTTGAGAGCTCACTACAGCTCAAACTCCAGGACACCAACTTGTAGTGCCGCATGTTCACAATTCTAACTGTTATACCCAACACCAGATCAGAGTTAGAAAACGATCCAGCTCTATGGATGCCGTCACTGATGGTTGGAATGCCTTTTATTGGCCTCTTATAACCATATATGAATCACAAGCTATCAACACATCTTGGCCTCGCTCCGATAGGGTTACTAAAATTTATGGTGCCAGAGTCAAATTTCGATTTTGCCAGCAGAGAACATACTGTAAATATCACCACGAGAGGATATACCTATCCTCAGAAGCCCAACACCCGCTCAACAGAGTCAAATTTCGACCTTGCCAGCAGAAAATATACTGTAAATATCGCCACGAAAAGATATACCTATCCTCAGAAGCCCAACACGCGCTCATGTATCCTCCACCTCCACCTCGAAAGAGGCAAATGCTGGTTTCAAGTGCGCGTCACTTGATTGGCGATGTCACTGAAGCTAATAACAGGTTAGAATGAAAGCTGCTTAAAAAGTAGCAAGGAAACTTTTTCTCCATTGAGTGAAGTGCTCATTGCCCCTTTCACTTTTATTTTCCTAAACTGGATTGATCATAGACTATTGATAACAAAGACACACTGCTTGTACCCTGAGGTCTCAAATTTGATACCATTTCCCAGCTGCTTGATTGGTAATTTGCTCTCTCCGCGCTTCAAACAAGGTTTTAACTAACACTAATTATCAATGTCAATTCCGGGCTAACCTCACATCACGATTCCTGAAAAAATGACAAATCAACGCATAGGATTCCGACTCGTTGTCCATCCATGCCATCCAAAATCAAGGGTCAAACACCTCAGATTAAGATTAGTGTTGAGGAAAAAAAATGAAAAATGTGATCGGTCATTGTGGTTGGCGATGGAATCACCTGTTATCAAGGTAAACTTAGGAGTATCACATTGTGCTTCCTGTCTTTTTCACACTTTTGCTCATTGCCTGCTAACTTGAATCCCCTGTCCGCACCCACTTTTAATTTTTCTGTTTGTTCTTACTTCTATCAAGGCAATCTATCCTCTTGATGGTAAGATTCACGAGACTGGTAGCAGAACCCGCTTTGAAGCAACGCACCAAAATTCAGTTGGGGTTCAATTGGGCGTCGATCAAGTAAGTGTATTGTAATTTGGATTTGCTGTGTTGATTCCACTTTCCTCTCGGACTCAAATCATTCATCTGATTTTTGGTTTGAAAATTCACTGACAAGTTCTGTTGCTTGGATCTTGGTGTTATGATTTATCCATATCATTAGTATGGTAAGGCGACACTAAACCGAGCTCAATCCATTAGATACCACGGTTCTACTGCTCCGCATGTCTCAGCTTCGGGCGTCCATACCTCCGAGCTTGACCTCACAATGAATGAGGATAGTTGTTTGAAGCATGGGGTCGCGTACGAAGGATTTTGTCTTTCTTTTTGAAATGGAAAGCAAACTGATTTAATTCTTCTGTTGGGCTGCATGCGGTCTACTTGAATTTCTCAAAAAAACCTGCACCAGTCGCTCTTTATATTTTGCTGCCCTGATTGAGTTTGATAGTGCGGCGGACAGGTCTTTTGAAGCTAGCTTGATTGTCGAAACACAGTCTCAAAAGGAGCTACCTTTCAAATTGTGGTCTATCCCAAAGTATGTATGATATTGTCATTTTTTTCCTTCTCCAATCGAGCACACTGGAGATATATTGAATGCTCTCCCCTTTCCAACAGGACATGGGTCTTAGATTACGACGGAAAAACAGAGCTTGGGCAGTTAAATTTGAGCACATAATTAGTCTTCCATAATCATTGGTCAAAATATTAGAAATGACCCAAAAGATAAAAAAAAATCAAGAAGAAAAATCATATACAGAACTGTTCAAAAAATACATGATCCGGACATTGAGATCCAAATCCTTTCTCCTCTACAGAAAATCTCTAAAAAATGTGTTTCTATTCTTTTTTTATTTGTACAGTTGCGAGAGAAATAGTCTGCAATTTTTTTCTCTGACCAGAAAATGGATAATCAACCAATTGCTATAGTGAGACTATTTAATTTTGCACCATTCAACACTTCTCATCTAGTCTCTTCACATGTCTTCAGGACTAGGTATTGGCTTCCAGGTATACATACAATCTGCCTAGCCCAAGTCAGCCAGGTGAAAAAAACATGATTGATTCAACTCCTTCATTCCTAATCTCCCAATTTGTCATAATTTTACTTTATCCTATTTCTTTTATGCTATGAAAAATTGCAGTATTAGGTTAAAATACATCCAGAGTAAGATTTATGCAACATGGCAATCTTTCTCAGATGTTCCACATGTTCACAGGTGCCAGTGGAGACTTTATCTCTTGCCTTGCAAGTTGCTGGTCAAATCTTACCACAATCAATTAACTTTTCATAGTGATGTGAGCTGTATCCAGGTTCTCTGGGTATGTGTGCCTATAGGAGGAAGCACTAAATTAATTTCATCAGCTTCTTTTTAAATGATCTTCAGGTGATGAAACTTCTGCAACCTTAGTACTCACAAAAAAATTTCTTTGGAAAACCTTTTCTAGTCAATTAACAAAAACAATACATCTATGTGATTGTGTATCATCACACCATTGTGTTATCTTGGCTCATGATTTCTTGGTGTATTTGGAGTCAGGAACTAGCTGATATTTGGCACAAACAATTTTTGACAGATGATCAAACTTTGTGGAAATGGTGATTATAAGGTCTCCATTTGACCTGATAACATAACCCTGTCTATAAATCACTGACAAAGCTTCAAATTAATAATCAAACATGATGAGCAGGTTAATCATTCTTGAAAAGCAATTAACCCCAACTCTTCAAAGAGTCACTGGGTTCATGATTGACATTTCTCATAAATTTTTTTATCCTAAACCAGAAGCTGCATGGCCTTCTGCAAAGCTTAAAAATGGTTGAAAACACACTTGCTACAAGCGAAGTCCAACATCCAAGCTGTAAACAAGCGAGTTTTTCTTAGTAAAATGAGCATCCAAAAGCTCAATCATGAACCCCGCTAATGTGTACTTCTACACTTTATATGACCATATTCACAAGGAAGAGGAATACTGGGAGAATTTAAAGCTTCCTTGAATTTCGTGTATCTATCTTCTATTGATATTTAGGTTAGTTTGTGAGGACTGGATCTGTTTTTGAAATTACTTTGTTGGAATACTATTGTTGTTACCCATGCTGGTTTATATGAATGCTGATGAAAATGGATTACATTATAAACTTATTGGTCATATTGTCTATAGCCCAAAATGTACTTGATTGCTTATTTACATGAGGAAACGAGGGATTTGTGTTTGTTATCAGTGTCAGTATGTACAACAGTTTCGAGATCTGGATTAGCCAGTATGACAAAAAAACAGTCTGTATCCATAATGTTTGACTGGTAGTAGAAGAGTCTATGTAAGTGTGTTTTTGGTTGATAAAAGAGTGGGTGAAAGATTGCAACGTGTTGGTCTGTCTCACTGAAAAACAAAAATTAGGAAACAGATTTTTTTTTTTTTTTTTTTTGAAATTATATGGGTACACCAGCAGCTCTACAAGCTCTGACGGTACCTTTACCTTTCTTTCTCTTTTTGTGAACGACTGATTACATGTCAAGAGGTTTTGAAGGGTTGGGGGTATCAAATTATCAGGGATTCACAAAGTCTCATCAAATGAATTCAGTGATCAAACAATGCCACTCACCATGGATCGAACAATCGCAGACCGGGATCGAGAACGCACAGTCAGAATCAACGTTCGTGGGTTCCGGAGCCCTAAGTAAATTCGAGTTTATCATTCCAAGCATCAGATTACATTATACTTAATACTTTTAGTCTTCTTCTAAATGAGTCTCTCGCTCCAGGACTGAGTCAGACAGCTTGAGAATTAACTCACTTTCCTAGCGTATAAAACCCATACTTATTTTGACAATTGATGGCTCTGGTAGTCAAATACTCGGTGGTGAAGCCATACTTACTCTGTAGCAACTGCGCATTTCTGACCTCATTGCGAGCATGGATACCTTCGGCTCTGATAATATTTCTCATGCTATGCATTGAAATTTTTAGCATAGACACCGAAATTTCACAATTAGTTTGTTTTGCTGGGAAATCGGTTGACTAAAATGATGAAAGGGGGACTTACGAGCCATCAGGAGTACAGTATGATAAGAATTTATCTTGCGGCCACGCCCCTCCTGGTCCAACATCTCCGCACCCATCCTTTTTGTTTTTGTGAGAGAAAAAGATTGACCGAAAAACGTACGAGTCTTAGTAGAAATATTTCTCCCGGTTTGAATAAGATCAAGCAGAAAACTCACACATCCAAGGGTGATAAACATGTTCTGAAGAAGGAAAATAGGCAAAAAGCTTTAGACCACAGACTTTCGTTTCTTTTCTTTTCTTTTTCTTTTTGTTGAAAACTGATCAAGTGAGATAATAAAAAACAAACTCACCTGAGCCTTAAAGATTTCATTGAGTGCAGTAATTTTAGCGAACGCCTTATTTTTTTCTTCTTCGTCGATTTGGGTCGGGAACTTTTCGAACATACTACCGCCCAAGAGATTCTTAGCCAATCCGTTATTATTATAGATCGGTTCAGTGAGTCCCGCATGTGATACTGCTGCGATATCTTTCTGGAGCCGGTTTTGGAGGGCGGCGAGATGGGTGTCGATCTCTGCCCATCGTTGCTGTGTTATAAAAAAGATATGTATGGGATCAGTCTGAGCTGGCCCTCCAAGAAAGGGTCGAGTTCTTCAACTGACATATGCATAGGCACTAGGTGGTGGTCCGCCTCTTTTTTGTAGTGTCTTTGGTTGGCTAGGATAGGTCGAGGGTCTTATGTTGTAAAGAATAGGCGATTTATTGACGCTATTAGCATGATTTTCATCCATGATGGACCTTTTCTTATGGTCCGCGGCGGTTGTCTTTGGGGCGCTGGAAATAGCCAAGCTCTTTGAACTGGTGGTTTGTTTCATGGGGGGAAGAGGTTTGGCTTTCTTGGCAGCCTCTTCGAACGCTTTGCTGACGATAGCGGCATCGTGCGCGCTTCTCGCACGATAGACGCCGACGACGTCCCCGGCGATTTGCATTTCTTGTGTTTTTTGGAAGTTTGACGCTGCCGCGGATCCTATGCTGGTCGCGGTCCCATATTCCCCGGCGGCTTGAGCGACGGGCTTGGTGATGAGCAGGGGTGTCAGGGCTCCACTGAAACCACCCAAGACTCCAATCACGAGTGTCGCGATTGCCCATCCGTAAATGCTTTTGTCCATGACCGTGTCGGGAATGCTAATACAAAAAAAAGAATCATCACAGAGTGTCAGAGGCAGCGCGTCAAGCCAGGAAGCACTCTGTTGCACAAGCAGTTGAAGGTTAAAGCTTCAGAACACGCACAAATCTGTGATCATTTCCGCCGAGGCATCTGTTGGTGGGCAGGTAAGACGCATACAAACTGAGTATTATTTTCTCAATCTCTTGAGTAAGTAAAGAGGGTTAAAAGGCAGACACTTTACCTCTCACGATCGTAACCGCATTGGCAACGCCTTGGTAGAGGACGTTCAGGTATGTGTTCCAATGCTGAATGGCAACAAGAACCAACCAATTTTTACCCGCCACAGGGTTGCAAAGCTGGAATGGAATATTATCATTATGAGCACTGTCCTGCATTTGGCCGACGAAAGATCGAACACTCTCACCTGTCCAGCATTGCAAGACAGACCTATCCCGCAAAAAAAGTTAGCCGCACCTACTTTCCGGGCAAAGTCCTGGAAGACGGATTAAGTTGTTAGCGATGATCTTGTGGATGAGTTTGGAGTGATGGAGAAGGAATCCGACGCAACTATGTATGTCATTTTGTCTGCCCCTTCCATACCGGCAATGAATTCGTCCATTTCGAATTTTTTCCATGTTTCTGGAGTCAATGGAATATCCTTTGGACATTGGTCCTCTGGCGGTGCTGGCGGGGGAGCCGGCAGATTTCGCGGTTGGAGCGGCCCGGCGAGGACCAGGAGACCGGAGATGATTAATGTGCTGGATGCTACTGTCAAGCAAGTGTGGTATCGCATGGTTTGGTAAGCAAAAATGAGAGAGAAAAAAATGATTGATGCTAAAAGATGAGTTGCTTGAGGACAAGATCTACTAGACATGGGGTGGCCAACCTTGTATTGATTTCTCCCTGCTTCAACCGGTAACTAGCGAACTCGGCATCTTTTCAGCCACAACTTCTGAGCTTTTCATGGCTTGGTGACCGTCCATAGCGCATCATACAGCTTGTAGTAATGGGTGCAGAATACTTCCGGTGCACTGGTGTTGGCAATCGTTCGCGGGGAAGAAGAAAGATGTGACGTCGCTGGGCAGGATACATGCACACAAAATATTACCAACAAGCCTTCTGGCGACAATCGAGGGGTATTTCTAGTTACGACTCCGAAACATGTTTCATACATATCAATTCCACCTTAGCAAGCTGACTCACACACATAATGTTAAGATTTTCCTAGATTTTCTCATTACATTATCGACGTGATCGTCTTGCATAGGTCGGAATGTTCTGTAGTAACCAAAAGGTGAAAGGTCTTCTAATGGGGATTGCCACATCCAAATAATGACGGGATGAGCTTCCCTCCCGAAGTCGTTCCTGATGATTACCGATTGGCAAGTCGTCTCAGTACCCTGGTTCATAGGTGAAGCTTGAGGCCATGGGCGCTACATATCCCTGGACATCCCGGCTTCTAATTTTCTCCAGAGCAGAATGAATCCCGGTTGACCGTTGTCCAAAAAACGCGCCGATTGATAAAAGAAAGCTATCCGTGGCTCAGCAGCTTGTCCGAGGGCAGCCACCGTGGCATGCACTCTGCTTGCACATTCCGGCCTAGTCCCCCCCTTGGATGGGTGTACAGCGACAGGCAACCGGCCATTCTTGGTTTCGGGCACTATGTACAGCTCGAGGGCAGACCAGGCGATGAGAGCCGAGATTAATAGCGTCATCGTCCAAGCCTCCAAGCCGAGGGAGAGGATGAGTGTTGTCTCCGATGAGTTCCGGTGTCCAGTACAACTCATCAAACATGCCCAGTCGATGGCGGATTGCTCCAGTGAAATGGCATCGGAACCACCTCCCTCGTCGTTGCGGCCATGACCCGAAACACTATCTATCTGTGATACATCATCATAGTCAAGCGCCCGCCTCCTAGCACTAACTCGTGTATAGAGATGTTTCAGCTCTCATCACATCTTCCTCTGCAATGTTTCGTCTCAGCCAGGATTTGGTTGTCCAATCAACATGGCTCGACTCGATGCTCGGGCCTGCGCCTCCTCGTCAGTTTCCGTCAAGCTTTTCTTGAGGTGAGAAACCCAGCCGAGTTTGAGCTATCGTTGCTCGTACACCCAGATCCTTCAACCCTTCAAAGACGCTTATCATCAAGGGTTCACCGTACATCTCTCCCTCCTCAATCTCAATTCATCCTCGCCTTATCTCGTGGGCTTCGATCATCGCGACTCAGGCCATCTTGCCCTCATTCCAAGTGGGTGTGTGCTGCTTGCTGCCAATAATCTCACATACATGCCCCCTTTCAGAATAATAGACTTTTTAGACATTCCTTTCTAACAGCCCCCTTGCTTGCGAGCAAAAAAAAATAGCCACATTAATCCAGTCTCCTGAACCAACTCATTCCTTAAAAAATCAACCAGTCCTTGGCCAACCACACACTCATTCCCATCAGAAATTCAAGAATACAAACCACGTCGACCTACCTACCACCAGTACCCAACAATAACACTCATTTCGAATCTGTTCTTCCTCGGACCTCATTCGCCACTTTCCTTCATCTGCCGATCTCCTGTCTATCCTGACGTCAGCTGCACTCGGCAACAGTCTCGTCCAGACTCATAAACAAATACCATTCTCTCTTTAAAGCGCGCATCTAAATCACAATTGACAACATATCCTCTTTTCACTCCCTTGTTCAACTTATCAATACTGATATCCTCGAGCCTCCACCAAGTTTTACCCCCCACCAAGGTATGCTGCTTCACTTTTCACTCTTTAGTAAGTACTTCGAAACGCCGTGAAGAGAATTAAACTCAAAAATTGCCTTGAAGTATTATTTTCCTCTGGCAGACCGCAGTTCCCCCGTCACGAACAAGGTCGAGTACACAGCATCAGTTGAATAATAAATAATAGTGACCCACCCATAGGCCCTATCCTTAGCTCCACACGGCTCATCCATACGTGGTCTTGTTCTTCATCAACCCCAGCCATATCCTCAGCTCGATCGTATACACTCCCAAAGTGAAAATAGATATTAATTGCCTTCCAAGTCTCTCTTTAATTACAGTCGTCCACTTGGCTTGAGCGCAAACAAGTTCCCCCTCCTGCCCTAAGCCCACACAACCTTCAAGCACCTCTACTAGTCCAGGAAAATCACCAGGAAGACTGTGCGGATCCAGCCTAACCTCCAAAGAGATGACATCGAGATGTTTGCAGTTACTGCTGATGGCCTTGCTCAGCTGTAGCTTTTTCTTCCTCGTCCGCCGTCCCAATGAGATCAAGCTCCACAACCTCAAGTCATTCGACCCCCGGGTACTCGTGCGAACCGGCGCAGACATGTTCCTCCAGGATCCACAGGATCACAGCACCAAATGTGGAGCAGAGGACCCCAAGGCGGCATACCGGCCCCCAAGTCGACACCAGCTGCTACGCTTCCAGTCCCCGATTCCACGCAAGGACGCGGAGATCGACGACCAGGATTTCTGTCCGCCCGCGGGTCCCGGCCGACGTGCCACGGCGATCCTGATCCCAATCGGTCGGGGGCTCGAGCCCTGGGAGGCCGACGACAGCCGCTCGCGGACTTTCTTCCTCCGGAAAGAGGACGGTGGGACCGAGCCACAGAAGAGCGACATCGGCTTCCTGCCCTTCCGACCCATGTCCGCCGACGACGCTCGTCTGGCCCGGCCCCCACGTCTGGAGACCAACATGACCGACAAACACCGTTGTCCGGTCTATTATGTTCCCGCTAGCCCGCTCTTCAGCCCCATCCCGCCCCTCAAGAACCTCGCCGATGGATCCCGGGACCCACACAACGCCTTCCAAGTCATGCTCCAACGTCTTCGAGACTTCGGTTCTTCACTAGCCCCACCTAAGCTCTTCGGCCCAAGTTGCAACAGCCGTCAACACAGTCAGAGTGAACTAGCACTCTGGGAACGACGTGGATACTCTGAATTCATGTTTGGATTTGCCACCACGCCCACTCGTGCCCTCGACTTCATACCTCGCTGGTCTGAATGGCTTCCCTCCTCGGTCCCCCCAGCGGGCGACGACCCGGCAGACAAATGGCGGGCAACTAGCGCCAAGTCCCAGCCGCTCCGTCGACTGACTGCTAGCGCCGTCGTCCTCATCCCGCCCAAGGAAGAACTCGACCAAGCTTGGGAGGTCGAAAGCGCTGCACGAGGTGCCGGCCTTGATATCACTCTCAAGGAACTTCCTGCCGATAGGTTCGAGAGACGGTACATGAGTCTGGTCCAGGAAATGTGGAAGGAGGCCCAAACAAGAGAACGGCTTGGAGCTCCAATTGTCCAATGGTTCACACTTGCGTAAGCTATCACCAACCTTCTAATCTGAGTTTTTTTTTTTTTTTTTTGGGGGGGGGGCTATTTTTGAATAAGGAAATACACTAACGAACATCTTACAATCTCTCTACTTCTTCAGCGACGACGACACGTATTTCCTGTCGCTCGACTCAGTGGCTCGGATGCTCTCGAAATACAACCCTGTCGAGGCGCACTTCATCGGCGGCCAGAGCGAGTCCGAGAACGCCAACAAGGCCTTTGGGAACATCGCCTTCGGGGGTGCCGGAATATTTCTGTCCCGAGGACTGATCCAGCAAATGAACGAGCCGGGCACATTTGACAGTTGTGTTTCGCTTTTCGGGAAAGAGTTCGGCGGTGCGTTCTATGTTTTTTTGCTACGACATATTTTTTCCTTGAGCCCATCTGACCTTGAAACACGTGATGTCATATTTTTCCACAGGCGATGGGATGATTACCAAGTGTGCTGCAATGGTCATGCATCGGGATGTTCAACAAGTCGTGACGAGAGAGACTACGCTTCACCAATTAGATATCCGAGACGAAGGGCATGGGATTTTCCAAGCCGGTTGGAGGTTCACCTCGATTCACCATTGGCGCTCATGGTTCCAGCTCCAGCCTCGGGCCCATCCATACACCCTGAAGAACCCAGCCACACTAGCAAGTCTCCTGGGAAGTGCAGCCCGGGCGGTCGGGCCGGAGAATTGGACGCGACGATACGTCTGGGGGCTGCCCCCGCCGGACCAGAACGCGGGCGTGAGTAAGACGCCGAGCGTGGTGCTCTCACTGGGATACTCGATCACCGTCCATGGCGCCGGGATCCTCAAATCGACGGACCTCGACCAGGTCGAGATGACTTTCGCGCTCAGCAAGCTCACCTCCTCCACCAGACCCGCCTTGCTCGAAACCAAGCAGCGTCGCACATATTACCTCTATGATCTCAAGACCGGCTATTCCAACGCAGACCAGACCGACCTCAACCTCCAGCCTGATGTCGCCATCATGTCTCATATCAACCAGGAGGGAGAAGTCGTTGATCTCGTCTGGGATGGTAGGACCAGAACTTCAAAATCACTCACCGACACCGCATATACCGATATCGGCCTCGGACCAAATTAGACAATCTCTTATACTTCTCTCTTGATTTCCTCAAATTGATCACATCCAATTTTGAAATAAATGTATACTTTCATATCTTGCCTCCCATATCCAGCCCCAAATCCTAGTCATCCTGTTCTCCGCTCACTTGTAATCAGCCCTCACCAGCGGACCAACCCATGAACATCTTGAATCCCTGTCAAATAAACCTATGCTTCTTCATCTTCTTCACTTGTGATTACTTAATCTGCTTCTTCCTCATTCTCACTTTTATCCTGATTTGGGTTCCTCAACACACATTGGGTTTTGGTTTTGTTTTATATTTTGTTTGGACTTTTTTTGTTTTTGTTTGTTATCTGCTTTGTCTCTGCTACATACACTTTTCTCTTGTTTCCTGCCCCCTGTTTTATTCAAAAAAGGCCCAAGAAAAGAAAAGAAAACTCCCAAACAACAGTGAAAAAATGTGACTACATCTTGACATATTCAGTGAACCTACCACCAACTTCTTTGCCTTGATACTTAATCCCTGCTTCTCCTCTCCCTCATCATTTTGATTATCTACATCTACAAACACACTCACATGCTCACTTTATAACTTAACACACTCTCATTCCCCACTTATAAAAACCTCTGCAAAAATTAAACACAGAAATATCTACATTTTTTCAATAAATCAAAACTCTTGCAAAACACACAAAATAGGGGGTATCAAATATAAGTAAATTGAAAAATTAAAACCTCATTTACTCTTAAAATGAGAATTTCTTTGGGACAGTGTGTTATGATTAATTTGGAAGGCTCACATTCTCCCCTTTCAAAATTACATCCATCAGAAATGGTGGGTTAGTATAGGAGATAATGAGGTTTTAAGATTTCAAATTTTTCATATTTGATACCCCCCAATAATAATAATTGCATCCAAAAGTAAGTGTTTTGATATACAAGTAAATGATATATACAGAGAAAAACACATGTTGTATGTTTCTCTTGATCAAAAAATGGGTTGCCCTAAGGCCCAGCGGCAACTGAAGTTGCATGGATGATGTTTTTTTGAGGGAGTAATTGTTTTCCTTATTCAGAATTTTTATGTGACTTTTTGATTTTTTTTTTCTCAAACTTTGGTTTTTCTGACAGGTTTTTTCATAGGGATTTTTCTTTTTGTATTTTTTTTTCTGTTTTTTTTGGTGCATTTCCCAGTCTATTTTTTTGAATTCATATTGAATCTTATTTGTTTTTTTTTATCTTTCTTGAGTTCTGTTTGAGACTTGGTTTTGCTTCAATTATGGCAGAAGTGATAACATCTGATACCCAATGCATGGCACTCAGCACATGCAGCCTGAACAGAATCTTGCCCACCATACTCGCTTGCACCTGCAGAATTGGCATCTTGAACAGCAGTTAATTTTTCTGCGACATTCAACTGCATTGAGGATGACACAAGATTTATGAGGGCAACTGGGATTGAACACAGGTTTTGATAGAAGCACCACAGTTTTAAGTGTTGTTACTTGCTGATAAGGTTATTCTGGGGGTAATAGCAGCAATGCTTTTTTCATTTATATAGCTTTCAATTCAAGTTCAAATAGCTGCATTGATATTTCCTATCCCCCAAGCAGGGAGAGAGCCCCACAAGCTGTATGTGTAAATCACAGAGGAGGAATTCCATGAGTCTTGATTTTGATGGATAAATTTTTTGTTTTTAGTTTTTTTTGGAGGTGGGGTACATTATTTGAATTCTGCACAAGGATCCTGAATTAAATTGTAGAATGGGTAGCCAAAGGCTTTTCCTCCTTTTATTTCCAATTTTTAAAGGAAAACTAGGAGGCCTCCTACTCTCACACTCCACCTTTGCCCTATTAGAGCATCCACCCTTGTCTCTGTAAACCCACTTGGTAAGCGTGATTTACCCAACTTTTTTTGATATTTCCACCATTGTGCACTCTTTAGCGCTCTGTAGCTAACAGGAAACTCTGTAAGTCTGTAAGGATTTGTAAAGTTACAAATCCCTACCGAGCCTCTTTAGGCCCAGTCTACAGAGAGGCTACATAGCACACTCCGGCATCCCCTTCAACCTTGCCCTTCCCCACCTCACCAGTCCTCTCATCTAAACAACCCATGTCTATCAATGACCAGTCTATTCTGGTCATCATGGACAAAACACCCCTCAAACAAACGGTACCAACCAGTCATTGAGGAGATAACATATTCCCTTGATGATCAATCTATACCGGTTGTCAAGAAAACCACTTCCAACTGGTGATACTCCCTGATCGACCAGTACCAACCGGGCATTTAGAAGAGAGAAAGTCTTCCCTTGATGACCGCTATCAACCAGTCATTGAGGAGGGTACAAAACCCTCAATGAAAGGTACTTACTGGTCATTCAATTTCAGGAGGGTACACACCCTCCTCAATGACTGGTATCAACCGGTCAAGAGGTCATTGAGGAGGGTGTGTACTCTCCTAAATGACCAAACCAGTCATTGAGGGAGGTTCTGTTCTTTCCTCAATGGTCGCTTGGTTCCGGTCATTAGAGAGGGTGTGCTCTGCTCAATAAACAGTGGCAGCACCAACTGGTTATTTAGGAGGGTAACGTATGCACTCTCCTCAACAATCAGTTGTGACTGGTCATTGAGGATGGTGTATTTGTGCTCTCCCCATGACCAGTTGGTGTCATGGAGGAGGGTGATGTGTGTAATGTGTTCTTATAGCTAATTACCAAATACCCTGTGGACACAAAGGTGGAGTAGCCCTCTGAAAGCTTAATCAGCTGGATAATGAGCCGCTTACAGATGGATGAGGGGGGTTTTGGTCTGTAGTTTAGCAAAAGAGGTCTGTAGGGCTCCTTAGCTACATAAAGATTTACCTCAACAGGGGTGGATGCTCTTACAAGTAAAATTATTGGAAACTAAACATTGAGATGGTTATACAAAGCCATTCCTGTTGTGTTTGTGCCAGTGGAACACAGCCTGTGTTTAATTTTCAAGCTTTGTTAATTTGTAACACATCAGCCATTATTCTTGTTGAAAATGGGTTATTTTGTATTGCAGAAAAACTTCAATGCAATAAAATAAAATAAAGTGATTTTTTCCCTAACTATGTTACATATCTGGATCCTTTGATACAGACCAATACAATAGGGGGTATCAAATATAACCAAATCCACCATTATTTAACTGACTGGTTTGAAAAAATTCGCCCTTTTTTAAACATTTCAGTTATTAATTTAAACCCTTTTAAGACCCTTTGATGCAAAAAAAGTTTTTTGGAAAAGTGACTGGTTTCTAATGGTGGATTTGCTATATTTGATACCCCCTAATAGGGGGTATCAAATATAACCAAATCCACCATTATTTAATTGACTGGTTTGAAAAAATCCACCCTTTTTTAAACATGTTGGTTCTTCATTTAACCCCTTTTGGGGCCCATTGATGCAAAAAAATATTTTTAAAAAAGTGACTGGTTTCTAATGGTGGATTTCCTATATTTGATACCCCCTAATACAATGTTGAGTGTATCAGGCCAAAAAAGGCCCAAACCCATTTTTTGGGTCAAATTTTGTTATTAGTATTGCATCTGGTGATGATCACCCATAGCATGATTGAACAAGTGAAAAGAACGGTTGTGTACTGTGGGACTCAAACCCACAACCTCAGCATTCATGAGTGATGCGCTGACCATTAAGCTAAGTACCCATTGCTGATGTTGAATACATTGGTGATGTATGCTTGTGAAATGTAATGATGACGTGAATCATGAAGAATTGCCTCCAATGCTGATTAGAAGTCTCACATGGATGTCTTATCAATGTGTAACAAGTAGTGCCTGAGTTTGACACTTCAACAAGCAATAGAATACCAATAATGGAGTTGTTCCTTATCCGGTGATATTTCTATTGCAGTGCAGGCCTGTATCAATACACAATATGCGTAAATTTATTGATAAACAAATACTCTAAAATACTATAGCTGCCAGCCTTAGAGATACTCCACAGTTTCCAAAAGGATGACAAATAATAATTTATAAATAATAAATATGTAATACTAATATGTAATAAAATATGTAACATATCTAAGAATATTATTTAATAAAACAATATTTCATAAGATTCTAAATGGGGTTGCCCTGTCAGACACTGAGGCTGTAGCCCATGTGTCTACAACCTGTACTTAGCCAACTAGCACATGTACTGTAGTGTATTGGTTAAGAACTGTGTTATGACTTTGCCTCACCATTACACTTGGGTTCAAATCCCAATTATGCAATCTTATATTTTTATTATTATTTTATTTTTATACTTTTATGCTTTAAGTAATTCCACGGAATTACTTAAGTATTTACCTCTGTATTAATATTCATATTTAGAAAGATTATATAGATATAGTTTGAAAGCTTAAACATCTCTCTATGCACTGTAATTAGAGAGATGACATAATTCTTTCTCCTTTGAGCTTGAATGACATCATTCCTCCACTTTTGGTTTAAATTTTAATTTAAATACATGTTTTGATCATTTATGAGTTAAATACATAAATGATCCTCTGCAGGCCTCACCGGTCTCACAGGCAGGTTGACCCCTGCCTTTGTAATACTTAAGGGGGAGGTCTTCTTCCCAAGAATCCTCCCCCCAGAGATTACCATACAAACCCGTCTAACTTACAATACAAACTGTGAGTGGGGTTTATAATCTACTATTAAAACCTTCTAAAAACCTTCCCAACCTTCTTCTATTCCGTACCAACTTCCTAGACTACTGTAAAGTCACTACAGTAGCCTAGAAGAGAGACTAATTAGCTCTAAGCCCGGCGACGCGAAGCTCATACCGTGTACGTCCCCTTACTAAGGGTGCTTAACCCCTCCACTTACTAGCGTCAAGATGAGGTTCCTTTTCTACTGGCTTTCACACGAAAGCTATAGTACGACCCTTTCCACCCCATCAACGCCTAGTCACTCTAGAGACCGGCGCTGACATGCCCACTGGAAGTATACCCTAATTCCTACACCTTCAAGGACTTTGTATAAATTCAAGAACTTGAAGGACAAAAGGAATAAAACTGTTAGGGGTGTTCTGGGAGAGCAGGTGAGGATCTTCAGGGTTCTGGCCATTGATGGTAGATTGCAAGATGAGGAATGTACAGGGTGTGGATCTCAAACAAACTCCAAGTTCAAAGTTCAGGACATGTACGTAACAGGCTCTCTACATATGTAACGTCCCCAGTTCCAGTCCTCCACAGCTCATAACACTATCCCCCCTTTAATGCCCAAGCCCCCCCATTGTTGTCCTAATAATTAATGATGAATAAAAAAACTGAAAAAAACCCTCCTCTGGCTCTGCATTCTTTCCCCAGGCAGCATTAAAAAACCCAGTGGGGAAAGGCTGCCCTCTCACTTCATTCTGCGTGACCCCTTGTGCCTTGACGCCGCATCCGGAAATTTGGTGTTAAACTTGGCAACCAGTTCTTGACAGTGTTTCAAGTTGTCCACCAGTTCCCACAAGTTCTCCTCTGGTATGAATCCTTTCCAGCTGACCAAGTATTCCACCTTCTTCCCTCTTTTCCGACATACCATCACACCTTCTACTTCCCGCTCCTCCTCGTTGTTGACCTGTACCAGTTCTGGTGATGGGTGGCGTCTCCCAGCAATGGTGTCTGAGTTGTTCTTTGGCAGCACTGAAACATGGAACACCGGGTGAACACCCTGCATGAATAGTGGCAAATTCAGTTTGTAGGCGGACTGGGATATTTTCTTAGAAATTTGAAATGGTCCCAGCCATTGGTGGTCCAACTTCGGGATGGGTCTTGTTGTCAAAATATTCCTGCTGTTCAACCAAACCTCTTCTCCAATGTTCCAATTTGGGGTTTCCTTCACGCCTTTGTTGAATTGAGCCTTCATCGATTGTTGAGCCGCTTCTAGACACAACTTCAGTTCTGATTGAACTGCATTGATTTGCTTGAGTTGTTCTTCAACTGCTGGTAGACACTGTTCATTTGAAGGGATACCGCCGTTGTGGTAAGCCAATCCTGAAAATCCAAGCACAGCAAGAGTACAAATCCCAGATTAATAACCGGATCAAGACACACCAGAAAGCTCCCCAGCTCCTCAAACCAATCATGAATTCACCCAAGTACAATCCACCTGGATAATAGAATTTCCCCCTCCCATCCCAACAGAAACTCCAAACCCTTGAAACTCACTCCCCTCCAAAACATATTCCATTCTTCTTACCCCTTGTGTCACACACTAGTAGAGCTGGTCGCTACGCATCCGGATATCCGCGCGGATGCGGATATCCGGCTGCTTTTTCAGGCCAAATGGCCATCCGCATCCGCATCCGCACCCGCTAGCGGGTATCCGTCGGCCGCAGCGGGTATCCGAGCGGGTATCCACGGATACCCGCCCTTTAAAGGGCCGGCGAGGCAGCTGGAAGGATTTCCTTCCAGCCGTCGAGTACCTTGACGGCTGGAAGGAAATCCTTCAGGTACATGTACCCCGCCGGCTGAAAAGGGTTTCCTTCCAGTCAACGAGGTACATGTACCTCGTCGACTGGAAGGATTTCCTTCCAGCTGTCGAGGTACATGTACCTCGCCGGCTGGAAGGAAACCCTTCCAGCCGGCCATCTGCCCTTCCTGCCTCGGGTATCCGTTGAGATACCCGGGTATCCGCTGGAAAATCAGCGGAAAGGGCACATCCGCACCCGAACCCGCATCCGCTGGCGGGTATCCGCTACAGCGGGCGGGTATCCGCCAGCGGATAACGGATATCCGCAACGGATATCCAGAGACCAGCTCTACACACTAGTAACAATCCCCTTGTCCATGAAACTGTTATCTCCTCCTATTTTCTTCCATGGAATATTCCACCCCTCAGTTGTTTCATCCTAGTAACCTTGGGAGCATTTGCCCACTGCTTGTTTCCCCTGTTTTCTCTGGATAAATATTTTCCCCTGTTTCATGCTCTCATAGAATTTTCCACTTATCTTCCAACCACAAGCTGGCCACTCACCAGAATTTTGTATATAAGGAGCTTTGTTTTTCCTCTTCATTTGTTCCCCACCAGATCCTGCCCCAGTAAGCCAGATAACTGATCACCATTCATCAGAGCCTGCCCCAGCAATTCAGATAAATGATCACCCATTATTAGCCAGGTATATGCCCATCAACATTTGGGATACCTTGATTTGTGAACAAGTATATTTAGACTAGTAAACATAAGAAACATTAGACATACCATCCTCAAGAAATCTTCAAAGCCACACCTTTCCTTAACAGTCCATACTCTTATATTTTTCTTGTTACCTTACTCATTGTAGTTACCAGAGAGGCAGCCCATTAAAGCATCCATCCCTCTCAAGCTCTATTCCTCCCAAGAGTAGTTCCACACTGCAGGAAGGATTGAACCTGTAGTTGGCCTTGAAAGGTGAAACTCCGATGGACACATGATTGTTGTTGTTGTAAGCAAATTCCGCTGTTTCCAGAAGGGGCTTCCATTTGTCATGGAGGTACTGCACAAAATGTCGTAGATACTGCTCCACTGCCTTTTTTTTGCAATTTCAGATTGTTTGTCGGTCCTGGGGTGGTAGGCCGTTGAAGGATGAAGCCGGATTCCAAGTTGCTTTTCCAATTCCTGTGTAATCTGAGAAACAAAAATAGGGTCTTGGCTAATTGACTCCCAAAAATTGGAGAGTTGACTCCCAAACCCCAAAACCCCCCAATTTTCCACCAAAATCCACGAGAAATGGGAGTCAATCCCCCAAACCCATCAGCGGGTTTGGTAGTTGGAACCCCAAGAAAAATAATAATAAAAAAAAGCCAACCCCCAAAGGAGTTGGGGGTCAATGCCCCAAAACCCACCGGCCGTTTTTGGGAATTGCTAACCAAAAAGAGCCTGTGACGGCCGGGAGGATGCCTCCCGGCCGCTGATGGCACACCCTCAGCAGCTGAAAGAAACACTCTTGGCCGTTGAGAGTTTACACCCTCAGCGGCCGAGAGAAACAGTCTCGGCTGTTGAGAGTGTACACCCTCAACGTCCGGGAGAAACACTCTTGTCCGTTGAGAGTGTACACCCTCAACGTCCGGGAGAAACACTCTTGTCCGTTGAGATTGTACACCCTCAGCGGCCGAGAGAAACACTCTTGGCCGTTGAGAGTGTACACCCTCAGCGGCCGAGAGTGTTTCTCTTGGCCGTTGAGAGTGTACAGTCTCAACGGCCAAGAGAAACTCTCTCGGCTGTTGAGAGTGTACAGCCTCAACAGACAAGAGTGTTTCTCTTGGCTGTTGAGGCTGTACACTCTCAACGGCCGAGGGTGTTTCTCTCAGCTGTTGAGGCTGTACACTCTCAGTGGCCGAGACAAAACCCAGTGGGTTTTGGGGCAGCGACCCCCAACTCCTTTGGGGGTTGGCTTTTATTATTATTATTTTTCTTGGGGTTTCAACTCCCAAACCCGCTGACAGGTTTGGGGAATTGACTCCCATTTCTTGGGGATTTTGGTGGAAAATCCGGGGGTTAGTCCTAGAGGGCATACTGAAACCAACACACCTTTAGTTCTGAATTCTACCCTACCCCTGAAGTTCCTTTTTGATCTGGTGAGACCCTTGGCCTCTACCAGGATCCACTTTGAGCTCCACCTTTTCCAGCACACCCCTCTGGGTGTGTTGGATGAATATGGTCCATGGCAGACCCTGAAGGAGTCTCCATGGATCTTGTGCTCTAGTGACTCAAGAAACTACCCCCCCCCCCTGACCCACACACCCTTATTTCTGGGGATCTCTAGACACCTAAGAGCATGTGGCAAACATGTATGCTAAAAATGAATAGGCATAGGCTAGAGCTTCATATGTCAACCTATTAGAGATTGTGCTGCACCCCAGACTAGAAAAGCAGGGAGCAGTGCACCCAGCATGCCCAACTCAAATAGGCCTTTAAGGAATCTATTTAATAACAGAAGGTATAAGATATAAGAAATTTATTAGCAACCAGTTACATTTCGAAAAACAACATTTTGTGGATGGGTCTTCGAAGGAACCAGCATGTTTAAAAAATGGTGGATTTTTTCAAACCTGTCAATTAAAGAATGTGGATTTGGTTGTATTTGATGCCCCCCAATTATTTTTTATCAAAACAAATTGCTGCATTTTTTTTATCATTTCATCATCTTTTTGTATTTCTTCATGGGCCTTAATAAAAAAACCCGCATTTTCCGCGTTTTGACACAGTTTTGCTGCGGCACAGCACACGCGCATTCATTAATTATGCATAATTTATGCATAATTTCGCCTCCAGGGGGCGCGCGCGCGTACCACAAGTGCCTGCATGAACTTTGAAAATTTTCCTGCAGGCACCAAACAAGAAAACCACTCACCACAATCAAAAATAGACTTCACCCCCCCCCCTCTAAACCTTCAACACACCACAACTCGGTCAAAACTCAACCAAAATCGACAAAAAAAATACCAAAATAGATCTTTTTTTTCCTCTTCGACCCCACAGACTTGGATTTTTTTGATTCACCTCCGGTTCATTTCCAACTTGCAGGTACACTCTAAACTTCAAAAAATCATAACTTGGCCATTCCTCAACCAAAATTCACAAAAAAAATACCAAAAGTATCCTTTCTTCTTCTTCTTCAGCTCCATGGTCTTCAATTTTGCTGATCCATCTCTTCTTTTTTTTTAAATTCATTGTTAGGCCTCAAACTTCAACCCTGAATAACTCTTTCAATTCTCAACCAATTTCTTCAAGAAAACCATCAATCATCTTCTTTCTTGATCCTCTTGACCGCCACCGTCTCCGCTTTTGCCACTGGACCTCTTGTTTTTTTTAAATCATTGCTGGAAGTTGAACGCTAGTAGGACTCAAACCCCAACTCTGAATAACTCATCCGTTTCTTGACCGTATTCTTCAAGAAAACCTTCAAAAATATTCCTTCTTGTCCTTATTGACAGCCACCATCTCTGTTTTTGCTGACACACCTCTCCTTGTTGGTTATTCATCGCTCAATCGCTAGTAGGACTCAAACTACCTCTGCGATTATCTCAGCCAGATCTCAACCGATTTCTTCTTGAAATCCATCAAAAAATCTCTTTCTTGATTCTTTTCAGGGCTACAGTCTTGGTTTTTCTTGTTGAACCCCAGGTCTTTTTTAATTCATCACTCAACTTCATCAAACTCCTCATGCATAACATGTCTGAAAGTCAAAGCCACATCAACCCGCTCCTTCTTTCGGCTGCAACAGCCAAGGATACTTCTCACGTTAACCCCCTCCCGGGTATAACTCGAGACAAAGTCAGCCCACTTCTTGAAACTGAGTCTACAGCAGTTCTGTCAACCACTCCGTCTGCCAGTCTTCATTCGCTAGCGCCGCCTCCCGAGTTATCGTATAGGACCCGGGCGCAACTAGATGACACAGTTCAACAGTGGGCGTTGGAGCATGGCTATGCGCTCAAGAAGACCAACACTACAACTCAGAGGGGGGAGGATTGGGTGACTTTTAAATGCAACCGTTCTGGCGAACCGGATGAACCAAACCCAGACAAGTTGGGCAAGTCCAAAAAGATTGGCTGTCCCTTTGCAATGCTGGGCAACTTCTACAAGAGGACGGGACTCTACCGAATCACAATCAAGAATCCAAATCGCAACCACCCCGCTTCGGAGGATCCATACATTCATCCGATTCACAGACGATTGACCGATTCCCAAAAAGAAAAGGTCACAGAATTAACTAACGTCGGTGTCGCCCCCTTGAAGATTAAGTCCGCTTTAATTCAAGATGCAAATAACCCGTCACACGTCACCCTCAACACCATTTACAATCACCGAGGGAGGATGCACACTGACCATCTTCAAGGACGCACTCCAATTGTGGCTCTGGTCCAACAAATCCGGGAGCATCAGTTTTACTTCATGATCGACAATGTTGAAGGGCACATGACCTCGTTCTTTTTCGCTCTACCCCGTTCACTTGAATTGGTCAAACGCTTCCCGACCATGATCCTCCTTGATTGTACTTACAAGACCAACAAGTTCAACATGCCCCTGCTTCATATAGTTGGAATGAATTCATGCAATTGGTCATTCTTGGTCGCTTTTTGTTTCCTCTCCGCTGAAAAGGAACCAAATTATACGTGGGCCCTGGAGCATCTCCATCTAGCGATGGATAAAGAATCCCCCTCAGTCATCGTCACCGACCATGAACAAGCGGTCATAAATGTGATCAAAAA